TTTTCTAGTTTAAATCAACATGTATTGAGCCTATACTCTGTTCCACATAGTTAGGCATCATTTCCCTAAATCTGTCTGTTCAAATGTTGAACAATAATCCAAAGAGGGAGATGGGGTGACAGTTTCTGCAGGGAACCTGTGAGTACGATCCTGAGGAACATTCACCAGTCTGAGGTGGTAGGTTTGTCCCAGAAGAACATAACAGAAAATAGGGGCTTAGAGAAATCCAATGAAGGCAGGAATCTTTGAAACAGGAAGGGTGTGGGGTAGATGTCTGCGTGAAACTGGATCTGAATCCTGTACATACTGACTGATATGGCCACACAGTACTGTCAGGGCCGGGAGGACCAAACCGTAGCATAATAGAATAGGATTTCTAGGTTTAAAAAACAGCAACAACTAGGCCAACATCTTTCTACTCACCTTAAAGTGAAAGCTTTTTTAGGAAGACTTTACTAGTTTCCTTCAAACAAACCATAAATCGTCTACCGCACAAAGGTGGGCTTTTAGTGAAGCTCAGACTCTTCCCAAAAGTAAAGGGGCTTCTGGTAGTTAGACTCAGGAAATGAGCTGGATTCCCCTTTGCTTCATGTTGTTGCTATCCTAAGTGGTTTTGCTACTCCTGTCAGAGATCCTAGCACCTGAGTTCCAGGTGGGAATGGACATTGTCTGCCTTGTTGACATAGCACATAGTAGGCACTCAGTTACCATTCTCTGGATGTTAAATGAATCTTTCTTCCAGTGCTGCAGTAGTTGGCTCTTTAGAGTAAATAGCAGAAGCTTCATCTGCATCTGAATTGTATTGAACTCCACTAGGAGTGGTGCACTCTGGGAAATGGCCTCATGGACCACGATCCTCTGTGCTCCCCCTGGGACAGTGGCGTCGTCATCTCTGGCTTAGTGTGGAGAAAGTCTCAATCAGAACACCAGGCTGAAGGATAAGGCTTTCTTCCACTTCAGGCAGGTCTAGAATTGGCAGAGAATCAGCAAAACAAAGGGGAACTTGCACATCTCCATCGATTCTTAGACTGAGGTCCTAAAAGGTTGTCTTCACCCCCTGTTTCCCAGCCACACAAGGGACGTGTTGGTGGGCAGTACAACATGTCCTTGGGCAGCAGGCAAGTTGGCTTCAAAAGGCTATCAAGGAGTCTTTTTAAAATCCCTTGCACAGACATGTCCAGAATATTGACCAGAAGCGAGGAGAAGAAGGGCTATTACTGAGCAATTTTCTTTCACATGTTCAAACCTCCCCTCAGCTGTGTGTCTGGCGGGGGTCCCATAGAAATTGCTGCAGAAGCTATCGACACGGCTTTTATGTAGGCATCCTCCATTTTTATAATCCCCACTCTTTCCACTTCTACAGATGGCAGGAAGAATAGACGCAGAATATGCTTTCCACAGACGGCTATTGATTGTTTTTTTAGTACATGCCAAATACAACAGGGATTTTTAATTGTATTTTTAGTAGCATAATGGCAGAACAGAATGATAAATGGAGTACATAGAAGACTAAACAATATTTTGTCATCAGAATAAAAACATAACCTTGCAACTTTGGGAAGTTTAAATTTTTAAAGGTGTTGTTCTTTCAATTCCTCTTTCATTCCTAAATAATCCATTAATTCATTCATTCACTGAAAAAATTATTGAGCACCAAGTAAGTACCAGGCACTAAGTTAGACAATAGGGATTTAGGATACAGGGGGCAAGGCGTAGGGATTTCACTTTTATTTTCCTTCTATATAACATTTATACCTCAGGCTGTTTTAGGAAGATGCCATTCTCAGCTGAAAAATAGGGAATTATGAGAAACGCAATTAGTAAGTTCTGTTTGTACATGATCAGTCTTTCCCCTCCCCTTTCTTCACCCACACTTGCTAGATGAAAAATTTTTTTCCAAGGAAAAGGAAATAATCTGAATTCCTCTTGTCTCTGACGGTTGATTGCTCGTCCCTCTCTAAGGGAGTCTTCATCCGTGAGCAGGGCACTCAGTGGGTCCAGCCCTCAAAGAACTCCAGGTCATCTTCATATTGAACCTCATAGGGGAACACAATATACCACCTTCAAAATGTCTTACACAGCCTCCGCTTTCTAGTTCAAAATTCTCTTTAACCAAATATTTAAGCATCCTTTCTAGATCATTAAGAAAACATTATTATTAAGAGGTTAGAAGAACATTTTCATTGCTTGTTTATCATTTACAACCCTCCTATTAGCTTTCAAAGGAGATTTGAGGGTGCTTAAAATAGAAACTATGCATATGTCATAAGGCTTTTAAAATAGAATAACACAAAGAAGTAGGAGAAGCTTTATTATAGTCCCTATTATTTCTTTCATAGAGGTCACATAAAAAATCATGCTGTGCTAAGGCACTGCAAGCTTCCATTCTACAGGGTTTCCTTCTTAAAGTCCCATTTTCTTCCCTTGTGTTCGAATTGCCCATATGCCGACATTGACTGAGAGAGTACCATGGGCCAGGCGCTCCCCAGAGCTTCACAAGCCTCAGCTGGTCGAGTTCCTGAAACATGTCCATAAGGGGGATATTATCATTAACTCTATTTTAAACATGAGAAAACAAATTTAAAGACGTTGAGTAGTTTGCTCAAAGTCACGCAGCTAGAAGTGGCAGAGAAAATTCTAATCCAGGTCTGATGGTCTCCAAAGGACTTCATCACTAATGAATATTTTTAAATAGTGGGTCACATCCCATTGGTGGATCATGAGATCAACCTAGTGGCTTGTGATCCTTTTTCAAGTGAATAAGACAGACTGGCAATGATCAGAGTTCATCCCACATAGTGAAAGGTAAGCAATATTTCAAGAAATGTTGTTTTTAGTGTGTGTATGTGAGTTTTCGTATGCTGAATTGTGATACAAAATCTATGTCTAACTGCGAGATACTAAAAAAAATTTCAAAGCTGCCACACTAAGATATATTGACTCTCCCTCATTCATGTTCAAAACACGGGAGAATTAATAGTTTTTATAAATCTGCCCTCTATAAAAATCTTTAAAAGAAATAGGTTAAGAGATTTAAAAATCTGTGACTCAGTATGCCTTTCCCTGTGTGAATAGACTTAACAAGCCAACCCTTAGAGCTGCGCAGCAGAAGGAGTTTTCCTAAAATAGTCAGACCTGACTGGTCTTATGCCTCATTGCTAACAGTGAATCGTTCATTTACCACTGCAGCAATAGCAGAGAAAATATGCTTTGCTTTTGTAAGAACAAAGATCCAGTGGGTATAAGAGCATTCGAGGGCCACCCTCCCCATTCAGAAGGCCCAGCAGATGCAGCCGCAGCAGCTTCAAGGGAGAGGGTGCACTGTTCCATCCGGCTGTCCCCAAGAAAGGGCCTGAGCCTACTCTTTCATGTGTTTGCTGGATCTTGAGGGCCATGATGACTAAAGGACTAAAACAAATAATCTACATTCTTTCTAATATCGCTAAAAGTTTAACAAGCACTTGTAACTCTGACATAGCTTTAGTGCCTAAACTCAAACTCCTGCCCTAAAACAAGTGGAATTACTTGTTAAACAATGACTCCAGCAGACTTCACCTACCTTAGGAGAGCCTGGACCAGTCTGGTGGGAGGACATCTCGCCATGAGGCAGCATTTGCTTGGAGGGCCCAGACCTCGCAAGGGCATTTTCTCAGGAACCAGAGTAGAAGTGCTTTCATGTTCTTAGTCTTCTTTTCCTAATCTCTACATAGAAATAATAATAACAACACAAAATTGCTATTAAGATTAAATAAACTAACTAGGAAACCCCCAGCACAAAGTAGGTGATGCTCCATGAAGATGTATTCTCTAACCTTCTGCTCTATCAACAAGCATCATACCACCAACCCAAGGAAATTCCTAGCCATGACGCCAACCTTCAGTGGCATGGTTAGGAACACTGACAACATCCCTTGCTCTCTTCAATTCATCAGAATGAACTATAGCCATGTCTGAGTCTATACTCTCCTAATCAATTTCTGTGAAGTTTCATCTCGCGCTCCCTTTTAAAAAACATACGACTTCCACAATTTTACTAGACTATTTACAAAGAACACATCTCTTAGTTTTCCAGAAAGCACCCTTTCAAAAATGAAAAAATGTCTCTGGAATTTTTTTGGTCATCCTATCCAGAGATACAGTAAATGTTCATTATATTTCCTTTCTGCCCAGCAGTTGCTCAACTCTCATTCATCTCCTTTTATGTTCCCTGCACAAGAAGACTATTTTTAATTTGTCCTCATAGAGGACTTAGGCTCCTTGAAAGGCAGGTTTCTGATTCAGCTATATCCTCATAGCACGTTGGTTAAGATGGGCCTCTGGAGTCAGGGGGATGACCCAAATCCAGCTCTGTGACTTTCCAGATGGATGACTGCATTTAACTCCCTGAAACATGGTGGATGATATCACCCACGCCAGAGGCTGCTCTAGCAATTAATCTATTAATCAATTGAGACAAACCACTGTGCAAAGCACACAGTAAGCTCAGCGAGTGTGAGATATTATTATGTAGTAATGTCTTTCCTAATTCGAATGTGGTTCTGAATTTCTTTCTCGCTTTTAAACTGTCCTTTTCGTATACGATATACTTGTATTGTAAGTCACCTCAAATCCTCTTGTAAAGGATTAATAAGTAAATAAATCCATCCACAAGATCCTGTCAGCTCATAGTTTTACCTTTCTGTTTCCAGGAGTGAACAAGTTTTTGATTTCACACAAAAACAGAATAACTGCTTTGGTTGTGTTTCCTATTGCCTTCCTGCAGTGAATTCAAAATGAGCCTTGATTCCACTCTTGGGATAGCTGGTGTTAGGTATGACTGCGATTGATTAAAATGTTATAATGAAGAATATTGTTCATAAAAATTTTGCAATAAGAATATCACCCGACAAACTCAACTCATAGGGTTCTTGTGAAAATTAAATGAGATAACATAAAAAGACTTTGGCCATATGAACCCTTTCTTTCTGTTACATAAGATTTTTATCCCCTCTTTTACATAGATTATGTACTCACTGATGGCAGTACAATCACTCCTTTGTGCCAAAAAGGATATTTTCCTTGTGGGAATCTTACCAAGTGCTTACCACGAGCTTTTCACTGTGATGGCATGAATGACTGCGGGAACGGTGCTGACGAGGAGAACTGTGGTAAGTCCTCCCGCTCAGCTCCACATGCGTGTGAACGCCCCCAAACTGTGGGTGGATCGAATAATAATTGTAATGAACTGTAATGATGGAATAATAATTGAAGAAAATATTTGGTATTCTATAGGGAATCTTTCTGTAACACAATAATTACTCCCCAATTTATTTCTGGTAATTACCTGAATTTTCATGTATAGAGGCTGCTTAAATCAGAAATATAGTATTATAAGATGTCATATTTGATAAAAATTGAAATTATATTTTAAAATCTACTTAGATACTTATATTTTAATTTTAAATAGCTTCCTGTGACTACCTCTTTATGGCGTGGTAGTTTGGTTCAGCTGCAAGAATATCCATGAAGTGTGAATGGGCCTGCCCAGAGAGTTAATCCATTGAAAAGACCCATGTTGAGTGCCCACTATGTGCCATCGCTCTCCGAATTATCCAGATACAGCAGGCTCAAGGGAGATTAGGCGTTCGTTCACATGGACAATGTGAACAAGGAGGACAATAAGCCTGTATGTAAATAAGCTAAATAATGTTAGAGAGTGATAAATGTCATGAAGTGTATATAACAGGATAATGGGATAGAAATTGACTTGGAGGGAGGGCTATTTTAAGGACATAACCAGAGAAAAATCTCTCTGAGCTCATGACATTTGAACTGAGAACCAAGTGGAAAGAAGAAAGAAACCGTGAAATATTCTGGAGGAACAGAGTTCCAGGCAAAGCAAACAGCATGTGCCAAGGCCTTGAGGCTGAATGGAACAAGACAATGTGTTTGTGGGACAAAAAAGCCAGGATGGCTTGAGCAGAGTGAACAAGGATATAGGAGGTGAAGAGGTAAGCAGAGGCCAGATGACGAAGGATCTGCCAGGCCAATTTAGGTCTGCACATCGGGACTGTATATATTGTCTGATCTAACCTGTGTATTTTTTTTCTCGAAGAAACTGATGCCTAGAGAGGTTGACATGTCTAGTTAGTCACAGAATAGACACTAGAACCCAGACCTCCTGAATCTGAAAGAATCCTGTGTGTTTTCTACCACAGAACTGCCACTCCTTGGCACTGCCCAACTAACAGTCAAAGCGAGACAGCAAAGTCCAGGAATGCTGGGCATCTGTCTCTAGACTCTGCTCTCCTGCCCCTGGGTACTCGTGCATGCTTCCCTCTGATGGAACCTTCTGCCCTCACCTCCTGTGGATCACTCCTACTCAACCTTTAGGTTGCAGGTCAGGTGTGCCCCGGTCACCTGAGAAGCCTGGCTTCCTCGGCCACGCTTCCCCATTCTGAAGCTGTACACCAGTCTAGGACAAGCACTCCTTCTCTCTGTTGCCATGGCACCCTGGATGTACCTGTATGACTGTACTAAGAACTGCCTTGTCTTTTCACTGTACTTCTCTCACTAGACATGAACTCCTGGAGAAGAGTTTTATTTGTGTCTTATTTGTTTTGAAGTCACCAGAGCCTAGAACAGTAGGGTACATAGGAGGCACTCAATCAGTGCTCAGTGAGGGGAGCAGCTCTCTGGATGCTGATGGCAAGTGGCTCAAATTCTTGACATTTTTCTCTTCACTGTATGGGAAACAGAGACCACGCGTGTTTATCTACCTCAAGAGGATGTCTGAACACAAATTAAATAATTCACGTAAAGGCATCAAATAGAATCATTTAAAAAATTATTGAGGGTATTAATGAGAAATAGAAATAAATTAAAGATTGTAGGGATCAGAGAAACCTGTGGGCAACTATTTAAATTTACTTTTCTATTTGTATGAACTTCACAATCACACACTGTAATGCGTATCTTATTGTTTTAATAGCATCTGCTAAAGTAATGATACTGCAAAATCAGGTCCTTTTTGAAAGAAAATAATTTTATCACAAAAAAAGAGAAGGAAATTTGGGAAATAAAAAGATCATATCCTTTGACAAACTGAGAAATATTATTTCTCTCAATAGGACTAGACAGCCTTTATGAAAAGGAACTTTGTTTTTGTTTTATTAAAAAAGCCAGGTGACATAAATTTTATGAGAACTTGTTACATCTGTCAAGTATATATCTATATATACATATGTAGCAGTATGCATTTGCCAAAATAAAATTTAGACTTTATTTTCTTCTAAGGACCTCAAACTTAAGACAAAACATTTAAAATGTCATCATTAGAAATAGGTGATATTTTTCAAGATGGATATATGAATATAAAATAATTAGCTATTTCCATTATATATTTTATGAAATATACATTTGAAATATTTGTAATTGCAAAAAAGGGAAAAACTCCAGATGTTTGTGTAGCTTTTTCTCCCTTACCATCAATGTTATCATTCTTTTACTTAAAAAATTTTTAATTGATTTCATTATCAAATTTTTATACTTTTGTTTTGTAATTTGATATTTGATTTATAGAATAACTGACACATATTCATCACCATTTCACAGGAGACACTAGTGGATGGGCGACTATATTTGGCACAGTCCATGGAAATGCTAATAATGTGGCATTAACACAGGAGTGCTGTAAGTGGTATTGGTTCAAAGACTCAGTATCAGCTTTGCGAGCAACATGATTTGTGGTGCATGGATTTATATGGGTAGTGTGATAACTTCCCTTTAGGATTTCAACTTCACTTCAATGTATTTCAGTAGTCAACTGCTGTATTGTCTGCCCAGGGAACTAAAAAACTATAAAGGAGAAAACATGCTCCCTTCATGCTCATTTTTTGTATTAACCTATGATTGCAAGAATATATAGTTATAGAATAATTGTGATGAATAACAAAATTCTTATTCCCTTTAATTACTTTCTTCAATAAAGATATCGAGCATCAACTACTTTCCAGCCCTTACGTTAGGCTCTGAGAGTACAATGATAACTAAGATGTGGCCCCAACCAAGAAACACCTCACACTGTTGCAGGAAAGACAGATCCTTATAGAAGCAGGAATGATGCAATGTTAGTGCTAAACTGGAGGAATGATCTTTGCACAAGAGAACCTAAAGCTAGGGATGGGGAACAACCAGAGAAGATGACATTGAGAGGGACTTGGAAGTCCTTAGATGGAAGGAAGAGTAAGAGGTAACAGGATGAGCAAGGAGCAAGAACAGCAAAACGCTGGGGTAGGAAGGTGCAAGGGGTACTTCATGATGCCTCTCACGATGGTCTGAATGCCTGAGGCAGAGGAGCAGGAGCTGATCCTAGAAAGGTAGGGGCCAGCCCATAAAGGATTTGGGGCACACACTTTGGCATTTGGCCTGTATCCTGTGGATTGAATTGTGTCTAGACATAATTATGTAGGTGTATGTATAATTACATACACACATTAGTATGTATATATAATGTATGTTTATAATACATATATTAAATACTATACTAATAGTATAGTATGTACTTTATGATACCAGTTTATAATTAACACTTATTATATACCTTATTATACACAAGTACATCATCTATAAAAATTAGAATTAAAAAGATTAAAAATAAATATAACTGTCTAATATTTTCTTCCTAAACCACAATGGACCTTCTTGTACACATCCCCTTGTTGAGATCACTGCTGTACACAATAGGCAATCACTGAAGTTGTGGGCTTATTTTCTTTTAATGAAGAGGAAGAAGCACATAATGAGACGTGTATGTGAGAATGATTCTTCCATCAGAATTGTAGAGAGTGGACTAGAACAGTGGCTCTCAACCTGGAACAACTTTAGCCCCAGAGAACATTTGGCAATACCTGGAGACACTTTTGGTTGTCACAAGTGGAGGGGGTGGGTTGCCACTGGCATCTAGTGAGTAGAAGCCAAGGATGCGGCTGAGAATGATCCAAATGTCAACCTTGTCAAGGTTGAGGAAAAAGAATGGTGAGAGAGATACTGATTATTATGTTTCTTGCAATGCTCCAGACTAATTAATACTAAGAATCTGAGCCTAGAAGATACCATTGGGAACAGCGAGGTAGAGAGAGATGCAAGAAGCATTTCAGAAGAACAATCCACAGGGCTTGGGGTGTGACCAGCTTGCAGATGAGGAAGGGTCGAGAGTCATGATCACATTTCTGGTTTAGGCAACAGGCCCAGCTTAGACCATATGGAACTCTTTTATTAGTAAATAAGAGTTTCCAACCATGGATTTTCAATCTAATAGCATAACCACTATTTTTAATGTCAATAAACATTAAAGTAAACATTCTGAAGTTATCTTTAGGAAGCTGAGCTAATTAGCATAAACCTATAAACAACATACAATATTTTCCAAAACTTTATACACTAGAATGCATCTTTTAAATTAAGGAGGTACTCAATAAAAAGTTTGTTGAATTTACTAAAATTCAGTGAAATTGATTTTAAAAATAAAGTTTGGATAAAAGTGATTTAAAAGAAGTAGATCAATTGAAAGAACTCATTATCAGGTTTAAATAAACAATAATAAATATAAAATTTTAAAAATAACTCTCATTTTCTTAGCTCCATCAAAACAAATGCCCACAGGATCAGAGGCAAAATCAAACACTCCATAAATATCCTCCCCTCCTCTCTCTCCCTCTCTCTCTCTGTCACACACACACACAAACACAGACAAAGTGATTGTTCCATGGACCAACTTGGCCTGGTTTCTCCATGGATTTCTCACTTCTTTATATACCATTATCTTAATAATTCTGTAAGTTTCTTCAGAGTAAATTCTGAAGCCTTTTTCTTTCCTCTGAATGCTTATAGATGAATGCTGAATGACGAAAGGTGGATCTTTGGTTTTCTGAGCTTAATAGCTTCTCTACGACTTTCACCTTTCACTTTAACTTCACAGTAACGAAAAACAAAGAACCAAAATGAGAGATTCTCTGAGTTGGTTGATTTTAATAAGGCACAATTGTGGCTATGGCAGAACCTATGTGTAACTCTTCTCACAGCTCTAAGAGAAATTTGAAAGGGGAAAATAATTGAATTTAATTTTAATCAACAAGCATTTATTGAGCAATCTCATTGTGCCACTCAATTAAATTGAATTGACTCAATTATACCCATTAAAGACTTACTCAATCGTACTAATGTTTTGAGTTGAGAACTTAATCTTGTTTCACTATATGCTTCTATGCCATTTAAACATTTCTATGGTTTCATTCTAATCACTTGTTAAATGCCTCTGAAACTGATGAACACCACATTAGTCTATATTCGACTGAGAGAACTCTGACTTGCTTTTATTATGGGCCTGAATTAGTTCATTCAGCAAGATGTGAATGTTACACATTCATGAAAAGAGGACAATGTCAGTTATTAGAGATAAACTCATAACTAAAGAAAAGGATTTTTTTCCTAGTGAAATCTTACTCTTTTTTGCCCCCTAGTTCTAAACCAGTATCCACAACGCTGTGACTGCAAAGAAACTGAGTTGGAATGTGTAAATGCTGGCTTGAAGTCCGTGCCAACGATCTCCAGCAATGTGACATTACTGTGAGTAGAATTCAATTCTTGGTGATATTTGCCCCTAAAGTCACATGAAAACTGTGTAATCTAATCTAATCTCTCTTTGTTCTGTTTTACGTTGCTTGTATACTAAACTAGAAATTCTCTTTAAAACCACCAGCCATCAGAGAATTCTGCATGCTGCTTCTCCAAGGAGAAAATGTTTTAAACTCTGTATATTAGATTAGCCGGGTTATCCTTTAGCTCACAAATCTCTGTTGTCTGGAGCTCTTATTTTCATTTTCTTTCTGATTTACGTATTAATACTAATATGCCAATACTATAAAATTAAAAGAAAAACTTAAAAAACCGAGGAGCACTCACTTATTCTATCTCGTTTTTAATAGTAATTTGTCCAAGACTGCAAGATATAAAAGATCCATTAAACTAGCTGTCTCGTAATCATGCAAGTCTTTCTGGACTTTGAATAAATGTTTTGAGAGCCTCAGGAATTTGCAGTCGTTTCACAATTTGGGCACACATAATTTGGTTAGGATTTTCATTGCTTTTTGGTTTTGTTTGTTGTGTTTCGTTAAATTACCCAGAGAGTACAAGAAAAATTTAAATCACTGTAGACTTTCCAGTCTATTTTACTAACAGGATAAACTTATCAGATATTTTCAAATTGCTTTAATTTGGAGTTGTGGACTTTTTCTCCTCACATGAGAAAGTTTTCAGTTACGGCAATCACTTTCAAATGTGTGTGAAGTGGCATGGAGCACCATCAAACGTTCTCTTCTCAAGCAGGCCACTTCTAGAGGAGAGTTTGGTTCATCATAAAATCCATAATGAAGTCTGCTTTACGTGTTATTTTAGGTCTCTCAAGAAAAACAAAATTCGCAGTCTTCCAAATAAAGTTTTCGTCAAATACACAGAACTTAAAAAGATGTAAGTAGCTATTAACAGTACTTCTATGGGAAAATCTTTGTAATGTTTTGTTTAAGATGTTTTTGACCTAAAAGTAAAATGAAACATAAAGTTGATTACCTTTATCATTAAATTTATTTTTCAAAATGTAATTAAGATTAGAAAATAAAGCATTGAAAAGTATTTTCTTTCCATTTGTCTTTCCATTCCATATTATCTTTCCATTTTGTAATTTAAAGTAGCTGAACAGATTTTATTTAAAATTGTTTTAGAGTTAAATTGGAGTTGAGATGAAGCATCTCAATAAGAAAGTACATAGTTCCATGCTTTTACTCAACATGTTTTGGGAAATGACGTTGCGGATTCAGAGGCGCTAGATGCACTTTTTACCGTGGAAGAAGAGTGTTAGCATAGACAGGAACTATCAGATCATTTAAAACACTTAGTGATAGGATGGGGACTGTCTCCCAGAATAATAGGAGCAAAAACCTGATGGTAGTGAAATCAGTGGTATTAGCCTATCTGAGGAAAGAAAAGTTTAATAAATGGGTCATAGTAAGCAGTGAAGAAATGGTAGCCAGTGAGGAACAATGCTTCCAGCATCGTCCAAGAAAGAAAATCAGGGTCTGGGGGATAAAGTCCCTAGAGAGAGTCTCTAGTGGAGAACTGGATGGATTGGTGATCTCCACCACAACTTGCGTGAGCTATCTTTTGATGCTCTTCCATATCAAGATGGAGATTCCCTTTGCTTTGATTCCCTGTTCACCAAGCGGCTTTATGATGACTATATTAACTTCCCAAATTATTCATACTAAAGTATTTGGGAAGTTACCTTGGATACGGAACAAGAACATTTCTGTCCGTGGAATGGGATACCTCCTATTTAAATAAAGAAATTGAGAATAGTTACCCTATTGTGAGTTTGGTTACTGTGGCCAGTCCCTCTGAGCCCTGTCACTGGGATAATGGAGAGATGAAGATTCTACACTTGCCAAGATGGTCATTAGACTAGATTAAAAAACTGGTAAGGTAATGCTGTGAGGCCCTTTGGCGGTACCATCATCTTACTGTTTTATCCTTCAGCGCTCAGCACAAAGAATAAAGTTTCTAGAAATCTAAAATACGTTAAAAATCTAGGAATAAAAATAATCTGATTCTTTGCTGATACTAGACAAACACATGTTTGAAATGCCACCAACAATTCTGTATTGTTCACGAATTTATAGACAGATTCTTTTATGCAAGAAAGGAAGTCACTGGAGGAAGTCCACTAGTCGGGTAGTCCACTAGTTCGTGAACCGGGGTTTGATTATAGGCTCTGTAAATCCCATCTGCAGAAAGGACCTTCCGCTCCATCTTGGAGCACGTGGTCATGTTGTTATTGTCACATAGGAGTAGCTATGTGTTGGTTCTGGGTTTCCAGACTCGTCTAGAGAAGAAATCCTAACTATACTGCTTCTAGTCTTACTGGAAATTCCTAGAATCACAACTTATTCATTCTCTGAGTCAATATTATCCTTTCACTTCCTGAATAATGCTCCAGGGAGGAAAAATAAAATTGCACTGGCAGAAAGGAAGGAAAAAGATTCATGTTTTAGAGTAGCTGTTTAAACTCTATTATCTAGAGTCATAGAAGTTTTATGAATTTCTAATTAAATTGTCTCATTATTCACGAGGTAACTAAAGTTTGCAACGGTTAAATGATTTACCTATATTCTACAACTATTTAGTGGAAGAGCCAGAAGAAGAGTCCATATCCTCTGATGCTCAATACAGTGTTTATTTTACAATAACCAGAAACCTAGATGTGGAAATAAATTGTTCTGGCATGTATTTGAGTCGTCTGCCAGTACATACTGTCCTGCCCCATGCAGAACTCCCTTCTATACCTTTTGCCCCCTGATTTGGGGAAAGCCGACTTATGAGGAGGCAGAGGGGTCACTAGAGGATCAAGCAAAGAGAATAAAAATTAGACTTCACATGCCAAGTCCTTCCCTGAACCGCTAATCCATAGCTTTGCTCTATGTCAATATTTACCTCTCATGGTGTCTACTAGCCTACTGAAGCAAAGAATATGAAAGCACTAACTTCAACAATTTAGTCCCCAATTTTTCCCAGTAGGAATTAATCTTCATTGCCCAGATCAGCTGGAAACTTGTCCGAGTAAATGTTTAATTCTACTTTGTCTGAGAAAACTTAGGTACCACATCATAACCTGAATACCATTCAGCAGGTGTTCTCCCGATGCAAGCTGCTTTTTGATGCTTTCCAGACAATTTGATTCTCCCAGAGACTAAGAGAAAAGAGATTATAAGACTCTCGCCAGGAAGCATTCATTAAGTGTCTATAATATGCAAGGTACAGCACAGGGGATAAAACAGAATTGCTTACATTTGTATATAACTTTTTAAAGTTTACAAAGAATTCCAACATGTGGAATTCTCACTTGGACTTTGATCCTCAAAGTCGGCAAAGTAGGGTAGACATCGTTAGATCCCTTTCAGGAATGAGGAAACCCACCCTTGGAGAAAAGAGGTTTTTTGCCCAAAGTCAGCTAGCTAACAAATATTATAGCTTGGCCTCAAAGCTGAACCTCTGACAATGATCCTTTGGAAGCATACCCACATGGTCCAGCCTCAAAATATTGTTACAGTTGGGCTGGCCCAGTGGCAAAGCAGTTAAGTTTGCATACTCTGCTTCAGTGGCCTGGGGTTCGCTGGTTGGAATCCTGGGCATGCACCCACACTCCACTCATTAAGCCATGCTGTGGCAGCATCCCACATATAAAGTAGAGGAAGATTGGCACAGATGTTAGCTCAGGGATAATCTTCCTCACCAAAAAAATATGTATATATTGTTACTGTTGATGAAAACATCCAGTAACCAAACTTCAATTTGAAAATAGTAACTCAAGTTCTTTACAAGCATTGCTCAGATATCCTAAAGCAGGTCATATACTCAGCAGTCCTTCCTTAACTCTCCTTTCTTCCCATTCCCTTTCTTCACACTCTTCAGCTCCTCTTGCCACTTTAAACTTCCAGAAAAATCTCCCCCAGCCTCAGCCAAGCTATTGTCTCTCCTGTCCTTCTACTCCTACCTTTTGCTTCCCAATTCTGCATTATAATAGCCCAAATAGCCAAAGTAGCAAAACCCAAACCATCTCAAGGAAAAGGTGTCAGAGGAAGGAAAGAGCTAGATTAACAATCCTAGAACTCTTGGTAACAGACATCAGGAAGGCATAAGCTAGCAAAACACACATGTTCATTCCTTCTTTCAACAGATATTCATTGATGCCTATGAGGTGCCAGGCACTGAGGATACTGAGTGAACAACACTTATGAAAAGCCCTCTCCTCATGGAGTTTAGCTTCCAATGGAGGAAGATAGAGAACAAATCAAAAATACATAGTATGTTAGATAGTGATTAGGACTATGGAGAAAAATAAAACAGGAGGGGAATTAGGAGGTGCTGAGGGTATGGAATTTCAAACAATATGCTAGTAAATTTTGTCCCATCAGATAACTCTACTACTGCCCCAGGGATCTCTAAAGCTCCCCATCATTCTTTGATTTACCCCCGAGACCAATCAGAACACAACCAACTAATCTTCTACATAACTCTTCAGGTGTTTAAAGCTGGCTATCACCCTGCACCCCACTAAAAGTCTCTTTTCCAAGCAGCCTCAAATCCTTAAATTCTTCCCCAATGGGCCTGGTTTTAAATCTGTTCATCATTCTTGTCACACGACTCTACATACGTTCACTTATATTTTCCTTACATGCAGTATCTAGAATAAACGTGATATTATCAGTGTGACACAGCGAAGGCAGAACTTGGGGAAGATGGCAACACTTCCTTTCTAAACTCATGTGCCACAAGGTTACATTTGCTCTTTTGGTGGCTACTTCATAGCTTTAACTCCTAGTGCTCATGCCTCTAAAATTCCTATCTCATGCCATATGCGCTACTGCTAAGTCATGGCTTCTCCATCCTGTACTTGTGCACCAAGCACTTGAGAGCTGGTTGTGGATCCTCAAATTTATCCCTATTCAGTTTCATCCTGTTAGATTCAGCTTTTCTTACCAGACTGTAAAGATCTTTTTGGATCATCCAACACGTTCGCTATTCCTCTCAGCATTGTGTCATCTGGGAAAAAAAAAAAAAAATGAACCTTCTTCACTCAAGTCATGGAGTAAAATATTGAAGAAGGCAGTGCCAAACCATCTTTCCAGATCTTTTCATCATCCTTCAGATAACATATATCATGCTTTATTTTGTCCATAAAAACATCATAAAACCACTAGATCGATGCCTGGTATGCATATATGCGATGTCAACCACATGTTTTTGTCTGATCAGTCTTTCAAAAAAGAAAATCAAGTAGGTCTGACATGCCTGGTTTCTTGTGAACTGCCTTGTTCACTTTCTTCGAGGTGTTCACAAAGCAGCATTCTAGTAGCCTGTCCTATGATGTCACCCAGAACCAGCATTGAGCTCTCCAACTATAGCTTGTGAAATCTACTTCTTCCGTTTTTGAAAAATCAAAACTGCATTTGCCATCTTTAATCTTCCAGCTGTCTTCCCTCCTTCAGATTCCTCAGTCATTGATCCTGACTCCGAGTTCTCATTTTTGGTGTTTCTCAATTGTTAGAAGAAATTATCCAAACCATATGGCTTTAACTCATTCCGATTAACCTGTTCTACCATCTTGGGCTTTAACTGCCCTACTGCATATCCTTTCTATTCACTTCAGTCCTGAGATCATCTTATTTGAATGAGAAGATAAAAACAATGTAGGAGTTGAGAATTTACATTTTTATATTATTTCACAACATTATAAAACAAGTCCCATACAGCAGGTTTGGCCTTTCCTTAACATTTTCTTGTCTCTAAAATATAACTAGAAATACATTTCTATTTCCCATAATATTCTTCACTATCTGAGTTTTGAAAATGACCTAGGTCATTCTTTCAACTATGATCCAATTTTTGTGACCCCTCCACCTGCATTCATCCTTGAATTTTGAAGAAACCTCCCATTGACCACTGTACTATTTATCAGTTTATTCCTCCTTTTGAGTTGGACGGTCCTTCTGGTTATTCTGTAGTACCATGTACCACCACCACCACCAGCAGCCCCCCTCACTGTTGCATATGTTGAAACATATATGAGAATCATTGAGTATTTGTTGAAGGAATGATGTGTAGGACTAACACACTGGACTAAAGAGAAGGTGGGGAGCTTCTTGAGCAGGAAGAACAAAGAAATGTAAGAAGAAACACTCAAAAGATATTGAGAAGAGAGTGACAGAGCAGTCTGTCTAAAGAAAGAGTTTCCAGAGGAACTGATGGAACATACGCTGGAGAGGTCATTGAGTCACAATTGAATGGCAGGCTAAAGAATCTAGGTTTTCTTCTTTTTGACCAGGGAAAAGACATGCACGAATATGTGTTTTAGATTGTATTGAGGTAATAAAGTCAATATGTAAGTTTAACTTGTATTGGGCTATATTTTAAGAGACCATTGTATTTAATGTTAAGTGACTCTCTGGTCTGGAATGCTCTAAATATAAACACAGTGGAGTTGAGCTCATTTAGACAACTAGAAAAATAAATTTTTAAATCAAAATGAAATTTTAATTGCCAGATAAATAAATGTTGCTCAACTTATCTGAATGCCTTTACTATAGATCGGTTTATTCATTTTAATAATCTTTTAAAATATCAAGCCTTTCTACCATTGGGGGAAAGCAATTTAAGAGAAGTAAAATATAATTTATGAGATTGACCATAATACTTTATCTCTGCTACCAAGGAAACCAACAGCGGTTCTCCTCCTCATTGTAACATAAACCTTGTATAAATTAGGAATTTCTTCTTAAACTGAGTTCTTGTTTAATGCAATCATTGGCAACAAAATGTAATTCAAAGAGTCTGCCTGGCTCATGAATACAAAATGTTGCATCAAAAAATAGCCTATAAACATGCATGTCATTAAAGCATTTATTTGCTTTAGTTTCAGGTACATAAATTCCTGGCGTTTCTGCTTGAAAAGTCCTGACAGCTGAAACAGCAGGAATTCATGAACCAGTAAGTTGTTCTTAGAAAAGCCATTCAATGTAAAGTATACAAAATGGGCTCATATCTCAGCTCTGAATACAAAGAGGACACCACTTGCCAAATTGTCATGTTTCCGAATTTTCACTCATATTCACCAAGCTACTATTCTGCAAAGAAGAAAGCGGATGCTAGAGGATCAAGTTAAAATTCAGCAGCCTAAATCTGAGATGAGCGACTTGGGATGCTAGTTCTCTATGGGGTGCCAGCAAGCTGACTAAGTAGAAGACTAAAGGCTGTTTATTATTTAAGGAGTTGGAGTCTTAACTCATGTCAGTGAAGGCAGATAGACTGTACACATCGAGTGAGTCACACAGATCAAAAGCACAAGGTCAAATTCATAATTTATGACTTCACTTGTCTCTTCTAGATTGACAACACATAGATAAAATGTGCATTGCACATTTTGAATTAGTTATCTTGAAAAAAATGTAAATAGCTCTAGTTAGGTAGTAAATTTTATATTTAAGAGGAACTTCAATATACTTACGCTTTTTCTATTTTCACTTGCTATTGTAACATAATTCATCATATTAACTTTCATTACATCACTCTAACGGCTCTGAAAATGCTAAAACAGATATTGATCTATATAGGTTCATTCTATTCATAGCAGAACTTTAAACCAAAAGCAGAATTTATGCTGCAACGTGAAACATCTTCTCATAGACATGGTGCAGGGGGAGGGGATTTGGAATGTCACAAGGTCACACTGGGCTTCAAGTTTACTTTGTAGGATTGAAATTAATGCTTTGCGCATCACTATGGATGTAATTTCATGTATCCTGCAGTATCAACTTTTTCCACATGGTGATACACAGAGAAAATGACAATATTTGTTCAACACTTGGGGTAAAAAATGGGTTTGCTGATAACCATTGGCAGCTGACCTCAGCCTTGCCTGGCTACCTGGAGGGCTGAGAGCATCAATATTCTGGCACAACTGGAGCACATTCATGACCCAAATGGGAAGCTCTGCTAGGGAATAGCTGTAGTATAACAAAATTCAGAGTACAGCCAGATGCTGACAGAGCACACGTTCTACCAATAGTTTTGCAGGAAAGTAACATAACAGTTAAGAAAGTGTTGTGTAATATTTTAGGAACTAAATCAAGTCAAATTAAGAGATATGGAGGCCATTCAGGCTGAGTGGTTAAGTTCATGTGCTCTGCTTTGGTGGCCCAGGGTTCGCCAGGTCAGATCCTGGGCGCGGACCTACACACCACTCATCAAGCCATGCTGTGGCAGCATCCCACATGGGAGAACTAGAATGACTTACAACAAGGATATATATTACTACGTACTGGGGCTTTTGGGAGAAAAAAAAAAAAGAGGAAGATTGGCAACAGATGTTAGCTCAGGGCCAATCTTTCTCACCAAAGAAAGCATTAAAAAAAAGAAACTCTCAACATATATCAAATGCTTGCCAAACAAAAGCCTTAAAAAAGAACACTATTTAGTCGTTAGTTACTATTATTGGTGTGGATAGTTCTTGTCCCTAAAAAGGCCTTTAGGAAATATGAATTCAGAAGGGCTAACCTCCCACTGTATAATGAGAACAGGAAATGGAAATTATTTACTTAGATACTCCCAACAGTGCTATTATCAGATCAGTACTATATTCCATATTGCTAAATCGTGTCAGAGGTTAAGTACGTCATGATCCTGTGAGCTGAAGTTGGTATACCAGCTCCAGTTCAACTGTTGATGCCATTTGTGACTTTGAGCACCTCACTAACTCTAACCTGTCTTGTGCTTCTCGCTCTGCATCTTGACGTAGAAAAGAATAAGACTTGCCCTCTCCCTTTTTCATGGGAATAGAATGAAGAGCAATGAGAAGGTAGAACTCTGGGCTGAAATATAAGACAGCTCAGCAGTGAGAGAGCGGCTAGTCTCACATGGTGAGCAACCCCTGCAAGTCAGAACAGGAAGGCCACCATAGTTTCAGTTTGCAGCAACAAGACTAGTTCCTTCCTCAGAAACATCACATCAGAGTTCGCTGGTAGAAATCAGAGATGCCCCAATCTCACTGCTTGGGTGCTATGGCGACAGCATGCATAGGCTGGGTCCAATTATCCCTCACTAGCAATGCCTCTGCCTCCCAACATGGGAATGAGACTTGGTAATTTATAAGCCAGTTTCACAAATTGTCTTTAGCATGCATAGGCTGGGTCCAATTATCCCTCACTAGCAATGCCTCTGCCTCCCAACATGGGAATGAGACTTGGTAATTGGTAATTGGTAATTGGTAATTTGTAAGCCAGTTTCACAAATTGTCTTTAGGTGAAAAAAGTGGAGTGCACATTCAACACCCTGATAAAGTACATAAACCATAATCACATGATTCTTCTATCTTATTCCTACCAGGTATCTTCAGCACAATTGTATTAGACACATATCCAGGAAAGCATTTTTTGGATTACATAATCTGCAAATATTGTAAGTAACTTCTTTATAATTATATTATGAATACAATTTTAAGTAAAGATTAAAAAGGTAGAACAGTGCTTTTTTTTAAGGCTTGACTTGGTTGTAGAGAAACGAAAGGAATAGGTTATCACCAACTACTTATGTTAGTTATTATATTGAAAGTAGTAAAAGATTCCTAGTTTTACCAGAAGACAGATACAAAGGCTGCCCTCACCCTGTCTTTTCCAGCTTGGGTCATGTCCACAGTATTTTATTTTTTCTAACACTTGCTAACTTACCTATGTACTTTCATAAGATGCTCGTCTATTAAGGCTGTAACCAAAAAGGACAAAAGCAAAAGTTGCTCCGTGTATTTATTCTGCTCTTATACTCAAACATACCATAATATCCCAACACTGTTTTCAGCCGCTTTCCTGGGCCTGGCCCTGCTGTGCCGCTCACTAGGCTGTGGTCCTCTGGATCCCATGGCTGTTCCTTGATTTTTCCCCCTCTGCTCACCAGTAGAGCGCTTTCCAAAACAGATGTGCATAGTTCACAACATCATCAGCGGCTCCTAGTCTAATTATATGTGAGTAAAATGGAGTACTGCATTTGCCTAATTGACTCATCATGTTATATTTAGATATCTCAACCACAACTGCATTACAACTCTCAGACCTGGAGTATTCAAAGACTTACATCAGCTAACATGGCTGTAAGTATTCTGATTTTTCCCTCCCCGGTAAAGGATCACAGCCTTAATGATAGACATCAATGCTCACAGTTTCCATCTATTTATCTTGTTTATTATACTTATTTTTCTGATTCTCACATAATCTCGAGCACTTTACCCAAGCAGTTCAGACAATGGCATGCCAAACGGTAGTTGTGTGAAAAGAAATCCATGCTACACGTTTTCAGGTGGCCTTCTGAGCCCAGTGGTAGGCGTGCTAAGCCATCCATCCATCCAGTGTTCCCCTACAGCAGGAATTCTCAACCTCAGTTCTGTTGGCATTTTGGCCTAGACAATTCTTTGATGGGGGAAGGAGGGAGTATGCCTTGTGTATTTTAGGACGTTTAGCAGCATCTGTGTCCTCTACCCCACTAGAAGCCAGTAGTACTCGCTCCCAGAATTGTTGCAAACAAAAATGCCCCCCAAATTCCCAAATGTCCTTTGGGGAGAAAAATTGCCCTCTGTTGAAAACCACTGACCTCGGAAGTAAGCAAGTTAAGGACTTTCTTGATGCCCAGAGCACTTACAGAAAAGTCTGAAAATATGGCAGCTTGTGGTGTTTCACCAGTTTCTAGGCCACCAGCTTCATCCCAAGGAGTCTCACATGGTGTCTGTGTTCTCATCAGGAAAATGAACGAGGGGCAGTCAGAAGGCCCTCTGCCAATTTGCCCACTTTCTGTAGGTCAGCCTGGTCTAGTGCAGAAAGCCAGGGCTTCAGCTCCATCCACACCCTTGTGCATGCCATGGCCCTATGTTTAATGTTCCAGGGAACTTTCTTAATCTTCTTAAGCTTCCTTTTCCCCATCTGTAAGCTATAATCATAATTCCTTTTCAAGAGCAATGTTGTGAGGATTAAGTCACATAGCACAAAGTGCCACACACAGAGTGCCTGGCATGTAGGAGGTGCCCACTGTAGCTGCCTTCTCCAAATCCTACCCTAAGGGACCTCTGAGAGTGAGAGGAAATGGTACCTGGCTTCAAAGGCAACAAGAGAAAGGAAGGGCTATTTCCTCTTGGTCTAACTTTTTTTAGGAAAATCTCATTTATATTTAAAAATAGTGATTGAATATATAAACATTTTCACTCTTTCTCCCTCAAAGCTCCAAATGAGTTTGTTTGTACAGACCTTAATAAAGACATCATTTAAACACCATAAGATCAAAGAACCGTTTGTGATTTCCTAAAAATGTTTTTTTTGTTCCTTCTTCATTCTGTTAATCAGTGGGTGAAAGCCCTTATGGAACCCATATTCAGCCAGTCAATAAGTGTAGCTTGCACTGGACCCAGGTCCCCAGAGATGAAAGATGTAACTTGGGTCTTTAAGTCCAGTGGGAGGTGGGTGCAGGGAGAGAATACAATCAGGATGGACTTGATAAGTGCTGGGGTGGGGATTGCGGGAATTTGGAGGAAAGAGCTGCTCCAACCACAGGGTGAAGGAAAGGCTCTTGGGAAGAGAGATCTGAGCCACACGTGGAAGGACATGAAGGAGGAGAGCAGGTGGGGGGTATGGGGGAGGCAGCATCATCATGGGCCTTTTCTTTTTCCTTGGTTTTATTTCACAAATGTCTCTAACACTGAAATTGGTTGTGATGTTTTTTGTCAGAATTCTAGATGACAATCCAATAACCAGCATTTCACAGCGGTTGTTTACTGGATTAAATTCCTTGTTTTTCCTGTAAGTATTCATCCACCTTTCAATAAATCTGTCTCTAAATTGCAATGACACCTACACTAACTTACTAAAAGGGCTTTAAAAAAATCAAGCCCACAAAAATTTTTATTGATCAAAACCTTTTCTGTATTTCCAGCCATAATTACTGTTGTTACTTCCTAGCCATGGTTCATGGTATATTTCAAGTCTACCAGTTGATTTCTTTTGGATCTCCTTTAATTCCCTTTAATCCTAGAGTATGTTTTTATTTGCAGTGGTTGAACAAAGATAGTACTCATTTTTATCTCCTAACTACACTTAAATCTATTAGACTCTCCCAGGAGTGCAGCTCCAACTACATTTATTTATTTTTGGCTGAAGATTAGCCCTGAGCTAAGATCTATGCCAATCTTCCTCTACTTTATATGTGGGTCACTGCCACAGCGTGGCTGACGAGTGGTGTAGGTCCCTGCCCGGGATCCAAACCTGCAAACCTGGGCCACCGTGGTGGAATGTGCCAAACTTAACCACTCTGCCTTGGGGCTGGCCTCTTCAACTACATTTTTAACAGAGGAAAATGTGCCTTTTCCCAGCAAAAGTCATGAAAATTCCCAAAATCTTTGTCCTATCAACAGAGCTGTTACATTTTTACTGTTTATTAAGCACTGGAATGATTTATCAGCAGGAGATTGTTTTGTTCCCTTACAGTTGATAGTATTGCATCATTATTTTTCCATTTTTCAAGAGGGACCACAATATCATAAATTAATCATGCAGGTTAACATGCTTATGAGTTGTTTTCTTTCCCCAAATGCTTCCTACTATCACTTCTTAGATTTAATCAGTTCTCAATGTGGCCCTTGAATATTTTAAATGATTAATGTTTCCTTTAAGAAGAAACTTTGGATGTATGATGCTGGAAATGATTACGGATTTGAAGTTTACGAGGAAAATTACCATGAACTTCAAAATTATTACCCAATATATATTTTTGTTCCATCTCATAAAATTAAACTGTTTAATATTTATTCCTAGGTTATATATCATACTCATGCATTTATAGTTTCTTTGATATCTGTTCCCTTATCTGTGCCATACACATATCTAGAGACCATTTTGAAGAGGTAGTTATATTTATATTCTTCATCCTAATGTTTCGACTTTAGCATGCAAGTTTCCAATTGTGGAAATAGTTTAAAGTGGTGTATTATCTTGTTCCTAATTAGTATCTTCCTCACATACAGGTCTATGGTTAATAACCACTTAGAAGCCCTTCCCAAGCAGATGTGTGCCCAAATGCCTCAACTCAACTGGATGTGAGTATGCATTTAGGAGCTAATTTTTTATTTGCCCAGATTAAGGAAACTAGCCCTGAAGTTAGTTCACAATTACATAAAAAGCCCACCTCTGATCTTCTTTCCTAAACTGAAATCTCATCATTTTACTTCCTGGTTTAAAAATCTTTTGAGAATTCCCACAAGTGTGAGGGTAAAGTTCAAACTCCCCCCTTGAGCACCCAAAACCCCTCATTTTATATCCCTCATTCCATCTAGTCTCTTTCCCGCCCCTCCTCTTCACACATCTTCCTTCCAGATCACCAAACTACTGCTCCTACCATCACTTCCCTGAGCACATGTTGTTCCTTCAACTTGAAAAGTCTTACTCCTTTATTCTTTTGGCTAACTCCAACATTTCATTCAAAAGTCAGCTTAAACACCGCCTCCAGGAGGCCATCCCTGATGCACCAACCAGTTCCAGTGGCTGCCTCTGTGCTCCCAATACATCACGAACGGACTTCTACCACACCACCCACTTTCTACACGGCACATCTATCTCTCCATACTATCCTCTCAGAACCCTTGGTTTACTTGTTTGTCCCCTACCTTCTCTAAATTCAATGAGGACAGAAACCTACCTTGTGATGTTATACCCCAGCATTGGCACAATGATCAGCACATGCCAGGTGCTCAACAAACCCTTGTTAAATGGATATGTAAATCATTTCCACTCCTTGTTAGTTTTTAACCAAAACATGTTTAAAACATTCATTCAAGTTACTTCATGACCTCACCACCACTACCTTCCATTGCTTGGTGTGTTCACCTTCACAGTCCCCTGAGACAGGGAGGACTGTCACAGGCGGCGATCTCCTGCCCTGTGAAAATCTTAGCTGTATCATCATCCCCCAGACCTCTTCTCGTCATACCCATAAAATGATGAAAGTTTAGTGCTTCAACTTTAATCCTTTCTAGACTCGCCTCAAAATTACTGCTTATAACACTATTAGGTGGCTTTGTGTTCACTTACTGACTTTCACTTTTTTGTATGTGCTTATATACCTGTTATCAAAAGGCTTTTAAGGCAATAGAAGTTTCATATAAGGGTGCCACTGTTCAAGAAGGAAATAATGGTCCGAAAAACATAAGAATAAAACTCGTTAAGACTAGGTGACAAGAATACTTAGAAACTAAACAGGTACACACTCACAGTGGGAAAGAAACAGGAAAAGTTCAGAGCCCCAGCCTGCCCTCCCCCTGCCCAGAATGGGCATCAGCCGCAGAGAGGTCGGGAACCACACCGCAGCCCTGGGTTCCTAGGATACTCATTTTCACTCTAGGCTTCCACAAACACAAAGGGAAAAAAATAGACACCCGGTGAAAATATAAAGGTAGCGAGATTGCCTCATCACAAATGCGAAAGGGCCTTTAAGCTAAGAGGACAGAGAGCTGAGAGGTCACAGCCCATTGCCCCAGCTTAGAGGCAGAAGAAACCTGCCCTGGCTGGGCTTCTCCTCCCCCACTTGCTATCGAGTAGGACTATGGCTCACAATTCCAAAGTTTTATACTTACTAGATGTAAAAACATTTTCCCCATTCTATTTAACGATATTTGGACTTTCAAAAGAGTACAGTATTTATTATTTTTTAATCACTGTATTTTAAGAGTGAAAAAAATATTGAGTTCCTACAAGACCTCCAAGATGACTTTAAAATAGGATGTAAAAGGAAGTGACAAAAGGATTGGTGATTTTGGTGTGAACGTGAGAAAGGCTCAGAGGCAGCAGAATAGCTATTGTCATATATGGGGAAGCTTGTAGGAAGCTGACTATAAAAAGAAGTCAGGAGACTTGCCAGAAAAGTCGAGTCTCACTCATTCCTTGGCACTGCTGGAATCGCTAATGTCAGAGTGTTCCGGAAGGCGTTCCCTGAGTGTGTGGGATGCCACTGTCCTGAGGCGTCACCTGGCAGAATGTAATCTCCCCACCAGTGCTTCTTGAGCATCAACGTGCATCGTAAACAACGCAAAGACTTAAGGCAGATGGCTGGACCTCAACCATGGAGTTTATGATTCAATAGGTCTGGGTGGAGCCCGAGAATCTGCCTTTCTCATAAGTTCCGAGGTGACACTGAGGCCCCATCCCAGGTCCCAGCCACACTCTGAGCAGCGCTGCGCTCAGCATCAACGCCACCGAGACGTGGTAGAAAGAGCGGTCGCTTTCCCTCACGCAGATGGGGATGCGTACCCTGACTCTACATTCAGTATTTGGAAGATAACTTTGGCCTGACTTTCTCCTTCAGCAACATGGAGACAAAAATATCTCCCTGATGTTGGGGGAACGTGAGAAGATAATGATCTATGACACCACGGCTTAGCGTCTAGGCTATAGATTCAGACAGAGCTGAGTTAGAAGTTCAGTTCCACCACTTACTAGCTGTGTGACCAGAATAAAAGTGAATTTCCAAGAGCCTCAGATTCCTTGTAGGTTAAATTGAGGGGGTAGTAACTCCAATTTAGCAGGAGTGCTGTGCTGTGCTCTCAGAACAGCACCTGATAGTGTAAAAGCCCAATACCTGGGAGTTACAGTATCACGGCGGCAGTCTCATAATTAATAGCATGGTATCCGGAACACAGAGACACTCACTAAATGTGGGGCTTCCCTGTCCCTCAATTTTATTAAGTTCTACCATTAAATGGAAGGGGAAAAGAAGCGCAATGTTAATTATACTAACTCTTCAAAAATTAGAAGGGAAGCATAAAAATTAGAATGAACTAAAAATAAATTGGAATGAAGTAAAAATAAAGTTCAGAACTGTTGTGGTGATTAAAAAAAATGCCTCTAGACCTATGATTTGTGCAAAAACACTAAAAATATTTTTCCTCCATGCCTTTTTAGGGATTTGGAAGGCAATGGAATAAAATATCTTACGAATTCCACCTTCCTGTCGTGCAACTCACTCACGGTGCTGTAAGTATACAGGGACTTCAGTAAATGAGGGGAAACTCAAGAGATTTAGGAATCAAAAGAAAACATCGATAAGGAATTTTAAAGTAGTGTCTTGTTCATAGCCTCGGTCTGAAACTGCAGTACTAGAAAATGCACACATGAATTTATTGATTTTGATGGTGGGGCCACGCCTTACGTGTAGCTGCCAGTTAAGTTTCCAGCTGGTCTCCTTCTTTGAGGGCAATCATCATTTCTGTGCATTCTCTCTGCTCAACTGGTACCTAATCACATGATCACCAAGGAAATGAGATAATGCATGTGAAAGTGCTCAGCTACACAACAATTAGCTGTTCTGCCAATGACACTTATCACTTGATGTCCCTCTCTCTAAAAAAAATAATACTTTTATTCTAAAGGGAAGAGCACCTAATGTATTCTGATTGGCCAAAGAGTGTGACTGCTGGTTACCTTTTTTATGGAGGTGGGAAGGCAGATAGATTGGTTAATTGGCACATTTGGCTGGTAAGCTTAAAAACACAAGAATTTTGCTTTTGTTTTAATCATAGTTTTCCATACATAGTGAGCAGTTAGTAATGTTCTCTGGTTGGATGGGTGGTTGGAAAAGAAAAATCAGAGTATATCCATTTGTAGTGGTCTAACTACTTTTCTCCAACAAACTGAGAGATGGGGCTATTTACCAATCAGATTGTGGATTAGCAAATTTAATGTGAAAAGAGACTTTCTCATTTAGGAGATGCAAGTTTATTCTTTTTCTCATAGATAAATGAGAAAGGAGACTGGAAAACTAAACAAGCTACATCAGCGCCTTCTAGTTTATCGCTCCATGTAGCTTTTGAGTCACTTTCATGCTCATTATCTTATTTGTTAAGACCTCCGTAAGGCAGTTAGCTGCTGGCCCCTCTTTTTGCCATTCGTCTTGGAGGATTCCATTTCTAGACCAAGGAAATGTAAAACCACTGTCCCCTCACCAAATTTAAAATTGGCTTGTGGCCCCAGAAACTGCTCTGGGGTTCGTTCAAGCTTTGCTCTTGCTGGCCTTCTTCTAAGGAACATGCATTAAACAAGCGTCCTCTCAAAACCTTCTCTGAAAATCATTAACAAGGTCCAAAGTTGACATTACATGTGTGTATATTGGGAAAGAAACACTTTCGAAAACAATCAGAATCCAAACCAAGTGCAATTTTATAGACCACACTCAGCAACTCAAATTATTTATAGTGGCACTTCCTGGAGAGAACGTGTGGCTGTCCTCGGAGAGACACTCCTGCCTTTTGCTCCACAGCAGAACATGCCTCTGTTTTAGCCTTCAAAGGAGGCTCATTGAATCACGCTCAGATCAATGGCGTCTCCCAGTGAGAACTGGTTATTTCAGCAGACACAAACCAACAGTGCTGACTCTCACCATGTCTTACAGGTTTCTGCCTAGAAATCAAATTGATTTTGTTCCAGAGAAGACATTTTCTTCATTAAAAAATTTAGGAGAACTGTAAGTAGCATTGTCTACTAGGAAAATATGATTGCTTTTTCTAAGATTATACATTTAAATGACTAGTGAGACTGCTTTTCCACTAGTAGCAATCAAAATCCTGTAGACTACTGGATATTCAAAATCAATTTAAAAAACTGACATCATCCTAAAGTCAAAAGCAATTAAAATCAGACAGTGGGCTTAATGTGGATTTGGCCTGCTCTAATTTCCCTGCCTATTTTCTTTGGGTGGTTTCATATATATGTGTGTTTGAGAGCAAATGAGTTTCCCATAGCTCCTTAAACTCAGGGATCATTATCTCTAATGACTGGAGTATAGTTAATTCTCCATAAATGCTTGCTGAATGAATAACTGACTGACTGAAGTAATGTTAATTAATTTTAACTGAACAAACGAATGAAGATGCTTATTATCCCTTGGGAAATTATGACTTCTAGAACAGATGAGCAAATACTAATGCTTAGAATGAGAATTAGGTTCATTGCAAAATATTCAGAGAGTTCATGTAACTTTTTCTATTCAAATATGTTTTGAAGATCTAAGCCTTTTAAAAAGCATCTGTCTTGCTATTAATTCATCACTACCCACATAATTTGTGTACCATTGGAAGTTGCAATTAAATATGCTCTCTTATAAATAGTGACAATTAAGGTAGAGAACTCCTCCTCCTGATCTGAGGCCTAAAAATGGAAATTAATTTCTTTTTCTTTTTCTTAATTAACCCCCCCCCCCCCATTATTCATACCTTGTTTTGAAATCCAGAAAGGACTGGGGAAAATAACTCAATAAGAGTAATTTGAAAAGTAATTCACAAATAATTAAGATAATTCCATCTAACTAATGAGTATCATAAACCAAATCCACAAGTATTTATTAAGTGCCTGGTATGTGCAAGGCACTATATTAGAACTAAAAATATTATCATTTTATGGGAAAAAACTAAAGGCAGCCCACTCAGAAGAGCTCACGCTCTTCTCATGGGGGCATTCCAGATCAGCTCTTGGAGGATGGATACGGATTGGGGTTAGTGGGGTGGAGCGGAGCAGCAGCCCAGGACAAACAGGGGCTTGTTTTAAATACAACCTGCAGGAAACAGTGGGATGGAATCCACATTCTGAAAAATATCCTAGTCCTCCTCTTATCCTACCCTTAGGCAGTCTCTCTCACACGCCCACCCTCCTCAAAAACAGAGCCTGGTTAAGAGACACTACCTTGCTTTTTGTAAAACCACCAGTAATCCATTCCAATCCACTTAATCTAAGAGAAAATCAGAAGTTAATATAATAACTTGAAAAGGCATTTATACTTCTTGAGTTCACAAAAATGTTAGATAATTTTACTGTGCCTTCATGACAACAAACCCCTCCTGGAGAGGAATCTGCACACTTAGGTGAGGCCACTAAAGTCTTTCCCCCCAAAAAAAACTATACTTTATTTTTCAATGTAACACTTTGCAGAACGTTTTCTAGGTGTACAAAATCATCATCGTCTTGCTCCGTTGTCACTCTCTCTTTGACCTGCACACACCTGTGGCTTTCCTTCCGTGCATGACCCAGGTGTACTCCTCCCACGTGGAGCACCAGATCAGAGTTCCCAGCTGACAGGACATCTACACTTGGATGCCATGAGAGCACCTCAAAAGCAATCTGTTAAAATTAATTTATAGATGACCCTTACCCGACTACCAGCTTCTTCCCCTAGACTTGCCCTCTTAATGGTATCAGCGTCCTTCCCGGCAGCCAGGCTCAGAGACTGCTCCCTTTCCCTCTAAGCCTCTTTACCATTCGTGTCCTATCAGACCATAAGCCCTGCCAGTGCCCCTTTAAACCCTCACCTGCTCTCTCCTGGTCCAGAGTTGAACCCTCCTGCCAGGTCTCTGCTCCCTGACTCTCTGGCTTTTCAGTTTATCTTTCATGCTTCTGACAGAATTATCATCCCATAACCCAGAGCATATTAAGCCACTGTCCTGCTTAATATTCTCCCTCTTTGTTGCCTGCTGTTTAGCAAAGTCCTTGACACAATTGTCAAGTGTTAATATACAGAAGAATCACAGAACATACTGGCTTTAACAACATGTTACCAGGCTCCCTCCCAGAGATTCTAGTGTGATGGTTCTCGAGTGGATCGAGCTCTTTTTACAAGCATTCTCCTTGATTCTGACGCCTGAACTATATTCTGGGAAACACTGCCTTAGAACGTATTCATGGCCCTCCCATTTTGTCTCCATGCTCCCTTCCAGGCTCACTTCCTCTACATGTCCCCATATTTTCTATCCTCAACCCACATTGGACCATTTGTTGACTCCTAAAGATGTCGTTGACTTCCAAGCATCTGTTTCTTTGATCCTGCTCAACCCTCACCTGAAAATCTGCTCTTCTTTTACTCCACCTATGAAAATCATCAAGCTTTGTTCAAACACTTCCTAATTTCCCAGTCCATGTTCGATGACTCCTTCCTCTGTTTTTTGTCTATACTTCTGTAACAGCACTTGCTTCATTTCTTCCTTGTTGTATGATCTAATGTATACTCTAATTGTAAGCTTCTTTAAAGAAAGAGCTAAGTCTTAATCATTTGGAACTCCCACATATCTATCAGCAGCACCAAAGCATCAAAAATAAATAAATCTTTTGTTTGATTCTTAGGCAATTTCACATATGTTTCACTTTTAACTTCTTCTCTGGCTCAGAAGGATATTTTGAGCTCTCAAAGATTCCTGATTCCTTCTGATTCTAACAAATCTCTTTTCCACATTCTGTAGAAACACTTCCCTATGGTTCCTTCTGGATTGGGCAGTCTTATTATAGTTAATTAAATTTGGTTAAGTTCTCAATTTCTTTTAAAAGAATTGCACCATATAAAAGTAGATTAAAAATGTGTGAATTGATCCATTCAAGATAATCTAGGTGAATATTATGTGGCCAATATTATCTTAGTTGGAATGCAAAATAAGTATAAGACATAAGTCTTGACCTCAGAAAGCTCATAATATAGTTAGACAAACAAGAAATCATGTACATGAACCAAGCAGGAATCACAGAAGCAATGAATTGTCTAAGTGTACAAAGAGTACCTAAAACAGAGGAAATTAATCAAAGCAGACATTGAAGCCATGTTAGGAATGTGTTGGAGAGGGGCTGAGAGGAAATTCCAGCTAGGAACTGGGTGAACAAAATGTCACATTTCTGAAAAGTGATGGAAAACATATCCATTCGGCTGACTCAGATGGCCTTGTGTAACAAGTTATCAGGTTGGTTAAATTGAATCATATTTTCTGTTACGTCAAATAGGATGATGTTAAGTGAGGAGTAATAACTATGTCATTTATTTCCAATGTAATTGCTTTGGGTTTTCACTGTCACCAACAGGGACCTGTCTAACAATATGATAATGGAGCTACCACCCCACATTTTTAAAGACCTGAAGCTTCTGCAAAAACTGTAAGTTCTTCTTCTCACCATCATCAGATTTAAATGGCAACATCTTGAGCTTCCAAAATAATAACATCCTGATGCTTCTCTCCTCCTTCCTTCTAATGGTACAAAAGGAAACTGGCGTCCAACCCTCTTTTGTATCTCCACAAGAACCAGTTTGAAAGTCTTAAACAACTTCAGTCTCTGTAAGTGAAATATAACAGTATGTTGATGATCATTTCAGTGGATGTACTTTACTTCGAACCACGTTTATTTTTAAATGGGTATTTTACACTAGGAGGGCTTTTAATTTAAGCATGCATCCTCAGAGAGTCGTGAATATCATTGTTACCACCAAGTGTATACTCATGACACAAAGCCTCATTTTTTACCATTCAATATGGGTAAAGACCATTTCTGAGTTTGAAGCTACATATAGCTCTTTTCTGAAAACTGAGATCACATGGAAAACTCTCATTCTACAGTTTTCACAAAGAATTAAATTTGCAATAATTTTATTATTAAACAGTTGGTTAAAAAAGCCAATTATGTAAGACTTACCTGATTTTTCCTTTTCCCATTCTTACAACAGTCTACTTGATATCAGTCTGTAGAGCATGCTTTTTACTTTTCAGTCAGTAAAAATAAAAAATTATGTCACAAATATAAACATTCAGACAATTAATGTTGTTTAGCATTTTAACATTTCAAACATATTAGGTTTCAAATGGGGTCCAGAACTCTGCCAGTTATCCTTGAACTTCATCATGCCTTTCCCAGGAATAGCCATCCTTGGCTAAAGTTTGTTTGTTTGTTTGTTTTCACACAGAAAGTGTACTATATTGCCTGATCTCAGCCTCAGCCTTTCTTCATTTAATTCCAAAAACCAATCTTTAACATCACTTTTTATTTTTGCTAAATAGTTTTCTATTTGAAATTAATGCAAGATTTAGGTTCTCTCTCAATGGATATTAGTGAGCATCCATTGATATAAAAGACTTGGTTCCTGCTCTCAAGAAGCTAGAATATAAAAAATATATAAACAATATGTTGTTTTTAAACATAATAATAGACCTCAGGATGTGGACAAAGCAATTCTTCCCTTCACTCACCGCACTGACTTCTGAAAGCCAAAGTATGGATTTACCACATCATGCCTTTCTGAAAAGTCAAAGCAGTAACTGCCTACTCCGTGCTTTTCTTTCTTCATTTCTTTTATTTCTTTATTGTCTCATTTATTTTTTCTAGAGATTCATTTACACCTTTCTTTCACATTTACTGCCCACCAACTTACTTACAGCACTGTCTTAGGCATTCAGGATATAGTGGCTTCTGGCTCTTTTGGAAACTATAGGCTGTTAATCAAGTAATCACACACTTCATGTAAAGCTAAAACTGTGATAAGTCCAGGAGAAAGCTAGAGAGCGAAACCCTCAAAAAGGACTCGAGAGTTTCCTGCAGGAGGGGTCCCGTGATGATTCGATGGTATAATTGCTCCCCTAAGTTTCATTCCTGATTGCCAAAGGGCAAGGCAATTCCTCTATGAAGGACTCAAGAGGCAAAAGAAAACCTAGAACCATGTCAAGATCCTTATTAAGATTAATCAAAAAGAAACTGAGTGTGAATCAAACATCTTTCAAAGCAAATCTTAAAAGTAAAAGACTTCTTTTTTTTAGAGCGTCCACTCTCCATTTATGTTTCCTGAGAACGTGGCAGACTCCCTTAATTCATGGCATCCTAAAGAGGTCTTCAAAGAATCTCTATTTGAAGAAGCTTCTGGATAAATGAGGAATATAGGGGTTACCACTGGAGCCCTCTGAGAACATCTAATGGGGTCTGGAAGAATTAAAGGAATCATGCTTCCCACTGTTGTCTTAGAAAACAATTGTCCTGCATTGGAGGTCCTCTTACAGCTTCCATGGTTTTCTACCCTAAAGAGACATAGACAAGGAAGGAATGACTGTATTTAAATCCAGATTCTCACAAAACTCACTTCAGTGATATTCTCGGGTTGGAAAAGTCAGCTCCTTTCTGAAACCCTAAACTCACATGGCATGGTTTATAAAATCAAACCACAGAGCCAATTTCATAATCACACAAATCATCACTGAAATTTTTAAATCAAAGAAATGAATGAAAGAGTTCTATTAGAATGTAATTTTGCATTGAAGTGACAAAATCAGCTCCAACTGACAGGAGGCATAAATAGAAATGGCAATTTTGTAAGATACTTACTGTAAAGTTTTCATCCTAATTTGAGTTGGTAACATAAGATTTTGAAGCATGGTATTTAGGATATGACAAAGAATGCAATTATTAAAGGTTAAACCCTAAAAACATGAAACCTATTGTGCATATTTTGCAGAGACCTGGAAAGGATAGAGATTCCAAATATAAACACGGGAATGTTTCAACCCATGAAGAATCTTTCTCACATGTATGTATGTCTGAAAGAACGGAGAAGAGAGCATAGTGAAATGTTGCAGATGTTCTAGTGTAAACTGTCTAATGTGTCATTGCAATGTGTTTTTATGCTAGAAAAGTCTTTTTATTGAGAGCTTTTTAATTTTGTCACCTTTGGTCCCTGTTATAATAGAGTTCAATATTATGATGTGCCGACATGAATGACACTTCTCTCTGGAAACACGCTGTTTATCCAATTGAGGCCCAATAAGAGATCAGGGTACCAGAATGCCACATATTACACAAGATGAAGTCACTGGCTAAATGGTACTCAGGAGACCTGGAAAGATTAATTCACTTCACATGAGTGAGCAGTCGGTTGCTCTAAGATTTGAGCCCTTAGGAAGAAAGATGCTATATAAATTCCAGGTGTTGTTACTGTTACTAAGTGCACTACAAAATGGAGGTAATTAATCTTTATAGTAGTTTTTAATAAGTCACTTTAATATATTTGGCTAAAGTGCACTATGTAAGTTGTGTTAATATATGTATTTATGACATGATCATTTCTTTATCAACTGTATAATCTATGTTTCATGATTTCAAAAATTAACCATTGTTATCCACAACAATAGGGAGGATTCGATGTAAGATTACAAGTTGGGTGCAGCAAGTGGATGAAATGGTTGGTGTGAAGGTGCTCTTTTGGGAGAACATTTTGTTTATGTTTGTGCAGTAGGTGTGATTACTAAAAGTCAAGTATTTGATGCGTATCCACATGATTTTCATAATTTCTCTTTCTGTGGCACCAGTAGGGAAATATTTAACGGGGTTATCATTTCCTTGTCGCGGGCAGAGTGTGAGGTCTTAGAATAGAGAAATTCAACTTTTTAGAACTTGATGGAGAAGCTGCTGCTTTAAATGTGAACCTCATGTTAAGGTCAAGAAGGACACAATAATTAACATAAAATGTGTTAACTTAGTTACTTCTCTATTAAGTGACCTAGTTGTTCCGTTTTCATCTTCCTTGTCCACCACTTATGGAAACACCTCAACCGCATAACCCCATCCCTTCCACCTGCCAACTGGGGTCATTCTCATGGTGGGAGGAGAGGTTGAACCACTGAGAGACCCTAGCTGGCTCCATCTGAAGACAGTGGACATAAAGGAATCCTGAAAGAACCTAGAGGTCAAGCATATGCCAGGGACTCCAGGAAAGAAGAAGAAAACAAAATAAGTATATGTCAAGTTCCTTTAATTGGATAGATGATATCTGGAAGCTAGATTTGTAAGCTATTGAAGGGCAGGGATTGCCTCCAATTTCTCTTCCTACATACCCAGCACTAAATTATCCATCATTCATTTGCCCTGCTAAGAACTATTTGTTGAGTACTTCCCATGTAGCAGGCACTGTTCTAGATCTGAGAACACAGGGATAAACAGGAGAGAAAATTGTCTCCTCCATGGAGCTTCTATTTAGCGTTGGGAACCAGAAAGTCAACAAGTAAACATATAAATAGTTAACAAACGCTATGAAGAAAAGTATAGCAAGCTAAAGGGATAGAGGGAGGATGTTGATGGTTCACGTAGAAGTCAGAGAGAGGTGACATTTGAGCAGACCCTCATGGAGGAGGGAGGGTACAGCCCGGGCAATATCTGGAGAAAGAATCTTCCAGGCAAGGAAAAAGCAAAAGCACCACACTGAGAAGGGGATGAGTCTGGCTAGTTTGAGAATTAGAAGAAGGCCAATGTGTCAAGGTGGAGTGAGCGAGGAAGGTGAGGAGGTGAGGTGGACAGGGGTCCAATCACGGGAGGACTTGCAGCCGTGGCAAAGTAAAGCTTAGCTGAACTTGCTAGTCTAGCAACCGAAGGGGGAGATGACAAAAAAGGATTAGACAAAAAGAAGTTAACTAAAAGAGGAGGTAAAAGAATATAAAAATGGAATGAGTTTTATGGGAGAAAATCCTAAACACACAGGTTTGGGGAATGGCAATAAACCAAATGACCTCCCCAGTTCAAACCCTTCACGATTGCACACACCTAGATCATAAATACATTGATCACGAACAAACCTAAATTTTCCTCAAGAAATTGCTTAAGTCCTTCCAGGCCATGGTAAGAAATCTGTGCTTAAGGCAGCTGCTTCTCCTCCTAGCTGGATTTTCCTAGTCTCAGAGACCCTCCCTTCCTGCCAGTGTCAGGGAAAAGGGGGTAGGTAAGTAAGTTTATTTAAAACTAAGTACAAGACAAGGACGTTTTGGTGAGCTACTGTAGGTCCCTTACATCCCAAACCCAAGCCCCTGAATGTTTGCTAGAGATCAATTTAACACTGACAGTTTACTTTTTATAATACCCTAGAGAGTAATCCAAGGTGACAGGGAAAATTAGAGTCCCGGAGACTTCCCATTCTCATGTGCTCCCCTGACAACTCAGGCAAGCCACGGAATTTCTATCTCCTTTAGTTTCTTCATCTTTAAAAGAGCAACCCTGTCTAGAGTAACATACTATTTAATGAAGACCTCTGTAACGACATAATCATTACTAAACAAAAATAAACAGACCTAGTGAAGTTGCATACCCAGCAGAGCTGAAGCCCTGACAGGATTGCAACTGTAGTTTCTGTGTCATTGCTGGAAAGTGACTCTTTTTTTCCCTTTAACTTTAGTTATTTCAAAAACTTTCGGTACTGCTCCTATGCTCCCCATGTCCGAATATGTATGCCCTTGACTGACGGCATTTCTTCATTTGAGGACCTCTTGGCTAACAATATCCTCAGAATATTTGTCTGGGTTATAGCTTTCATAACCTGCTTTGGAAATCTTTTTGTCATTGGCATGAGATCTTTCATTAAAGCTGAAAATACGACTCACGCTATGTCCATCAAAATCCTTTGTTGTAAGTATGTTTCCTATCTAAATAGATTTAGGCTATCTTCTGTGAGCTGTGCACTAGACATATATTGGCCTTCTACAAATGGCATTTAATATGAATTATTTATGCTGGGCAATTTTTTTTCTAAGGATGAAAGTACTGTTTTCTTTGACTGCTCTGTTCTAGATTGCATGAGTTTGCAGTGATCTAGTACTCACATCTGGGGTTATGTCTTGGAACTGGGGTAACAGGGAGTCCATGAATCAAGCGATCGATTCTGCAGGACAGGTTGTGGATTATAAAACTAAGCTGTATTTAACCTTCAATTACAATAGCACCCAGGCTCCTTAAGCCCAGAAAATTATCCCCTTTATTAACCATGCAAGTAATACTTGTATACTTTTGAAAAACTAGCCTCCCCACACACACAAAATTTCCTCTCCATCACCAATTTTTTTTTATTGTTTTTTTGTTCCTTTTTCTCCCCAAAGCCCCCCGGTACATAGTTGTGTATTCTTAGTTGTGAGTCCTTCTAGTTGTGACATGTGGGACGCTGCCTAAGCATGGCTTGATGAGCAGTGACATGTCCGCGCCCGGGATTCGAACCGATGAAACACTGGGCCGCCTGCAGCAGAGCGCGCAAACCCAACCACTCAGCCATGGGGCCAGCCCCACCATCAGTTTTTAAAATTGTACAACAAAGATGCAGCGTGGTGCTTTAGAGATGGTAGTACACCTTTTGAAGTCCATTGGCTTCTAGGTACTATTGAAGGTGTTTGCAGTAGTTCATTTAACACAGGATGAAGGAGGTAGACGTAATCAGAATACTAAAACAGCGATGCTGGGAACTACCAACATACACAGTATCACTTCTTCAACAGGTGCGGACTGCCTCATGGGTGTTTATTTGTTCTTCGTCGGCTTTTCCGATATAAAGTACCGCGGGCAGTACCAGAAGTACGCTTTGCTGTGGATGGAGAGTTTGCAGTGCCGCCTCATGGGCTTCCTGGCCATGCTGTCCACCGAAGTCTCCGTCCTGTTGCTGACATACTTGACTCTGGAGAAGTTCCTGGTCATTGTCTTTCCCTTCAGTAACATTCGTCCTGGAAAACGGCAGACTTCGGTCATCCTCATTTGCATCTGGATTGTGGGATTTTTAATAGCTGTGATTCCATTTTGGAACGAGGATTATTTTGGAAACTTTTATGGAAAAAATGGAGTATGTTTCCCACTTTATTATGACCAAACAGAAGATATTGGAAGCAAAGGGTATTCTCTTGGAATTTTCTTAGGTAAATTATATTTTTCATTTCCTGGACAAATGTGATTTTGATAGAAACAGCATACATTTCAGCAAAGGTGTATTTGCCCATTACAGACAGTAAACACATATAGTTAAGACTATGTCCTTTCTTAAAGAAAAGTTATTGCTGTGCATTTATAGAAGTTTTTATTAAACTTTTATTATAGAGATTTAGTATGGAAAACAAAAACATACTGTCCTGATCTCTGGATGATCTTTTTATTATCCGTAAGACCCATGTTTATACATTCTGACTATGAGCTGGAGGAATTCTAGTTGAGTGCCTTGTCCTGTGACCCTACTAAGTTATTTGAGCTCTTTCTGTTTTTTAATCTAGATATGAGCTAAGTAAATAATAATAATAGAACTCTGGAAACTCAGTAACAGGAGATTATCTGAACGGAAATGCCAGGAAGGTTTATTGCCTTTTGTAAATGCAGCTCCAAAGACAGCAATATAAGGGTGCTTAATAAAACTTTGCTTTTCACTTTTCTTAATTCCCCCTAACTTTTTAGAAAAGAATATCTTACCTTCTCTGTTACAAATGGATGAAAAGTTTATCCCTTTAATGTTAAAAAACTTTTTTTATTGTCTAACGGGTATCTCTCTTGCTTAAAATTAAGGCCGTTCCCATGTCCTCTCTTTAGCTAGAGCAGTGTTATCATTTCAATCCCCGCTTCTCATCTTTTCCTCTCATCTAAGTAGTCAATAATCTGTCGTCCTTTCCTTTTCATCAAAGATTTTTCATCAAAATATGCCTCTGTCTTCTGTTTCCTCCAGTCTCTATCTACTGCTATTATCTTCATTTACAACCTTACTGCCTCAACCCTGAAGTATTACAGTAGCCCTTGCTGGTCTTTTGGCCTCTGTGGCCTTCTCTCTCTTCAGTACCTGAGAACTGAAAGGACTGTGCATGCCTCTGCTCAGAGACCTTCAATGACTCCCTCCTTCTAACCAAGATCAAGTTTAAACTAGTCATTTAGACCCCATCCCAAAATGGCCCTAACCACCATTTCCAGCTCTTCTCCGTCTATTCCTTCTCTTATTCCTCTGCAAAATAAAACACTTTATTTCCACCATTTTAATAACACTGCCATGTTTTATAGCTACTTTTTCATGGATATGTCACTCCCAGGATATTGTAAGCCATTCCTAGTATAAGTGCACTTCATGGCGAGCCTCCCTCCCACACACATACGCGCACACACAACATTACACTCATTGATTCCACAAGCATTTATTAAGCACCTACTATAGGCCAAGAACTATTTTGGGTACTGGAGAGACAACAGATTGGCCCTCACAGACCTGCAGCCAGAAAGGAGGATGAAGACAAGTAAACAAGTCCTTACGTCACAGACTGACGAATGCCACCAAGGAGGAGTACAGGGTGTTCTAGGAGCCCCAGATCTGAGGACTGGGGAAGCTTCCCAGTAGAAATGAATCCAAACTGAGATCCAAAGGATGAGGAGGCGGTAGGCAAGAGAAGGCAGAGGCTGAGTTCCAGAAAAAGACATAGTGGATTTAGAGGCCCAAAGCCAGGGATCAGACCCAGATGAAGGGCGAAAGAAGTTCAGTGTGGCTAGACCTTTCAGGTAAGGCATGGGGGTTGGCTGAAAGGGTTTTAGCACCTGCGATATATTCCAGGTAGATAAAGAGATAATAATATATACACACGCACACATCATCTACATATACATGGCTTATCTGTGAGAGAAGGAGTCTCAGAGCCCTTTTTTCTGTTTAAAGAATATAAGAAAACACAGTTTTTAAATTAATTTTTTATTTTAGAATAGATTTAGATTTAGAGAAAATTGCAGGATACTACGGTTTCCATATACCCGTCACCCAGTTTCTCCTCCTGTCAACATCTCCCATTCCTACGGTACTTTCAGAAGGTGCATTTTTGATACTTTCCATAAATCTGTTTTCAGAATTTGTACCAGAGGATCATCTTAAACCATCACTTTATTTTATTCTTAACTAAACTTTCTGACAAGAGGCCTAAGATAAATCAATTTTATAAAATTCCATTGTATGGCTTTATAATGAGGTTCCATGGAATATGAAATGTTTTGGATAAAAACAACAGAACACCTTAAACTTAAAGTATTTTCCCCAGACTTCACCAGTCTTACAGACAGTCTAATTCAGATGAACATTTTTTAAACAATTTTGAAATTATACGCAAATTTGATGTTCACTATAAGGAATAACAGGATCACTCAGGATTTTTATTATAGCAAAATAGAACAAAGTAGAAGTCAGCATTATAGGATAGTGATATTAAGGGAGAATCTTCTAAATGTATTTGACCCTAAAAGAGGGATTCATATAGTTGAATTTTTTATTTTTTCTGCCCTTTTTTTTTCTAAAACAGGTCTAAAGGGTTTTGAATTTTAGTTTAAATTACTGTAAGCAATCTAAAGAAAAATAAACAAAGCTTTATTTTTGCTCTACATATTATTTTTATTTAGGACCTAAAAACATGAGAAATCATGTTTTTAAGGCTATCTCCTTGATATTCTAAAGTTATCCTATTCATATTTATACGATAAAGGAACGGGGTCATATTTACTTTTTGAGATGTACATATGATTGCAGTAATCCCTTAAAAGAGCTAAAAATGAAAATAGCTTTTTTTCTGTTTTAAAAAAGCTAAAATTTATCTCACGATATACCTAGATCTGAATTTCAGAAGTCTATAATTCTTCACAAAGGGTTTATGTATTTGAAATATCTTTTTGATCTGGAAAACACAATTCCTTATCTTATTTCGAGCTTATAGCCTTGGATTCAAAGTTTTAGCTGTTTACCACCTGGCTTATACAGAAGAATGCTTCTTGGAAATGCAGTGTAAGAGGCACCATACTGAGCATCTAAGTGACACAATATTTTTACTGTTGATTTCTACACCTGAGATGTTAAGAGGTGTGCTTTTCCCAACAGGTGTGAACTTGCTGGCTTTTCTCATCATTGTGTTTTCCTATATTATTATGTTCTGTTCCATTCAAAAAACTGCCTTGCAGACTTCAGAAGTGAGGAATCACATTGGAAGAGAGGTGGCTGTTGCAAATCGTTTCTTTTTTATAGTGTTCTCTGATGCCATCTGCTGGATTCCTGTATTTGTAGTTAAAATTCTATCCCTCTTCCGGGTGGAAATACCAGGTCAGTTCCTTCTATTATTCCCAAGTACAAAGTGCCTTCTTACCCACCTTGTCTGACAAGAACAGAATACCGTGCCTTCCATATGGTAAATTCTCCATAAATACCAACAAGTTCAAAACAAAGAGTTATTATTTCCCTCAGTGTTTTATAATCAGTATTCTAAGATAGAAATGGGGTCTTGATGCAAACCAGAGAAGAGTAGTCAGAAAAAGAGGAACTAGAGAAAAACTAAGTCTTAGTGTCTTATTTCTACCTCAGCTAGATGGTGGTTGTTAGCCAGGAGTACACATATGAAAACAAAATATACAGGCCCAGGTTCCATCCCGGCCTCTGGATTTAGTCTCTAGGAGCTATGGCCTACACACGGATGTTTTGGAAAAGTTCCCCCTGTGATTCTGAGGCACACACCCCTGTTAACAGCCACCAGTCTATCTCATGGTCCCAGCCAAGTGGTTGTCACACTGAGCTCTGTGGAGTGCTAGATGATCCACATTAGTGCTTCATCCAAAAGGCCAGGTTCCTCACACACACCCCTGCTTCATTAGTTAGGGGTTTGCTTGAGGCCCTTTCTGGAACCTAGAAATTACAACCATCCTACAGCCCAAGGCTTTAGCCTGACTCTCAGTGAAACAGAGTTTGGGGTAATCTTCAACTCATTGATTCAGCCTATTGCCAACCTATTTTGGGAGCTCATCTAGGGCAGGAACTGTGTCTTATTCATGTTGGTACCCCAGTGTCAAGCATGAGGTTGACACATTGTAAGCCCTTATAAAAGAGTGGTGAATGTGCAGCCACAAACTGCTGCAACAATTTATGTCCCTCTGGCTTGTGCACAAAGTCATGGGAGGTCTTGTAAAATGCCTCACTGCAAAATGACACACAACGTCCACAGCATCCCTAAATCCATCAGCTTGTCTCACAACAGGCCATAGATGTCCCTCGAGCCATGCAAGGCGGGGAAACAGAGATGAGGAGGGAGATCACAGCTGACTACTTGGGAGCCTTTGCTAAGTAGCAAGAGCAGAAGCCCCAAGAATATGTGTGAGACCACTCAGGGAGAGCCAGCTGTACATGAGGAGCAGAGTTAGCTAAATATTAATGGTCACAGATGGGAAACTCCACAAACAGTCTCCAGTCTACTACAACTTCCTAGACATCTCAATTTTTATATCCTAACATTTTAAATTCGGCAGGACGAAAATGTCCTTTGGCCTCCATTGCTCATGGAATAAAGCCCAAAGGTGGGGATTAACATTAAAACATTTTTCCCCTCCCACCCTACCCTCATATTCTGTGATCCAGGCCCATTAGAATTATTTGGCTTTTTTTCCTGTACCTTTTTGATGTCTTGCCATTGCTGAAGCTGTTGTCTCTACCTGGATTGTACTTTCAACATGCAAAATTCTAGCCTACTAAACACCCCTTCTCATCCTCCAAGGGTCAACCCAAATACTCCCTCTTTCATGGTCCAAACCTCTCTCCAGCCTATTCCCATCTAACCCAGTTGCTTAAATGGCTATTACATTTTGTTTGCGCTTTGTTTATTAAACTCATATCAGTGTTATTTTTTAATGTATTTTTTGCTCCCTTCAGATTATAAACTTCTGGAGGGTAGGGACAATGTCTCACTTATCTTTCCACGGTGCTTTTCACATAACATTTTTTAATAAATGCTTTTTCAATTAAAGATGCTGAGCTGGTCCGAGACTGGTGGAACAGGTGGGATTTGTCTCATCAACCTCTGCAGCTCCTCTTTCCACAACTTTTGATGTCCTTCCTCACACCAGGCACTCACTTCTCCTGGATGTGGGAGGAGGCAGCCTTGTGTAGTAGAAGGACCAAGGGAGGCAGGAGTCCCGGGTTCCTGTCCTGACCTTGGCATCGACAAGTTGAGGGAACGGAGAGACGACATAAATTTATTTCTCCCAGTTCTGGATGCTAGAAATCCAGGATAAGGGGTCAACAGATTTCTGCCAAGGCCTCTCTCTTTGGCTTGCAGATGGCTGCCTTCGCAATGTGTCCTCACGTGATCTTTCCTCTGCACAACCCACAATGTCTCCATGTGTGTCCACGCTTCCTCTTCTTATAAGGACACCTGTCAGATTGGAATAAGGCCCACCCTCATGGCCTCATTTTAACTTAATTACATTTTTAAAGGCCCTGTCTCCAAACACAGTCACATTCTGAGGGACTTTGGGTTAGGACTTCAACATCGGAATTTGGGGAGACACAATTTGGCCCATAATACTCTCTAATTTTTAATCAGGAGATGTCTGGTGATCAAGGGTATCTGATAGCAGCAAGAGTCATTATCATCCTTGGAGAGTCTCAGACATTTCAGATCATGATAGGGACTTAGAACAAGAGAAAAAAAAAAGGCCTTGTGAAAACATTCATGGGCCACACATCAGTCTATCTCTACATTTATAGTGCAATACTTTGAGGTTTGTTTTGAATACCTCAGAAGACCTAGGAGAGAAGTCTTTATCACATATGACTAAGACCCTTCTTGCCTGTCCAGCTTCCCATGGTGCTGTAGGAAATGCTGCCCTCACTGGCCTAGACCCATCCTGTCCCCACGTTCCAAGAACTCTGGGGTCTGCTCCCTCACAGCATATCACTGACAGTACATGGGATCAGCCCAACAGATAAGCCAGCTTTAGCTCTCCTGTCTCAGAACTCACTGCACACCTGACATTGGTGAGTCGCCCGAGACTGAATAGGAAATCTCATTCCTGCTCACAATTTTCTTTGGGGACACAACAGACAAGAAGCAACTTTGTCTTGTTTCACTTTGTCTGTCATCAATTATGAATGGTTCATGTCATCTAATTTTTTTTAAACTAAAGACAAGTAATATAGTAATTAAAACTTTATTTAAGAAATCTAAGGGGCCAACCTCGTGGCCAAGTGGTTAATAAGTTCACGCACTCCTCTGTGGTGGCCCAGAGTTTCCCCGGTTCGGATCCTGGGTGCAGACATGGCACGACTCGTCAGGCCACATTGAGACAGCGTCCCACATGCCAGAACTAGAAGGACCTGCCACTAGGATATACAACTATGTATGGGGGGGATTTGGGGAGATAAAGCAGAAAAAAAAAAAAGATTGGCAACAGTTCTTAGCTCAGGTGCCAATCTTTAAAAAAAAAAAAGAAATCTAAGATATGCTAAAGATAGATATTTTATTTCCATATTCTTTACAATTAAAAGAAATAAGGACTATAACGAGAAGATGGGATGAAGAAAGAGGAAGGCAAACGTGGAAAAAGGAGAAGGGAGAGATAAGAGGAAAGCAGGAGAGAGAGAGAGGAGGGAAGGAAGCAATGGGAGAAATGGAAAGAGAGAGAAAAGAAGCTAAAGGACGGAAGGAAGAAAGCAGGGCGAAGAAGAACAAGTGACCATGTTTAAAGGATCAGAAAGTTATGAGGTGGGGAGGAGGAGAGGGCAGGAAAGGAGAGTGAGAGAGAAAGTGTCACTGGTCTTACCATCCAGCTTTTCACCTGAGCTGGGAGTTCTCAGAAGTTTCAAAGATATGGGAGGAGGCAGCCTTGGTGGTGGGGCTGGACAACCTCAGGTGTTAGTGCTGAAAAGCCCACTCCAGGCCAGCCCCCTGACTTCAGTCAAATAAGTCATCATCAGTGCCCTTTCACAGATAAGGCAGTTGAGGTCTGGGGAGCTTAGGTGACTTGCCACGGTCACATAGCTAAGAAGTGTCAGATCTGAGGAGCAGGTTGCATTGAAGGGGGAAAATACATGTCACTATAACCAAGTAAATCATGTCCTCAGAAAGGACACTATCATCCCAAATTTCTCCCCACAAAGAATTTTTTGCAGCATCTTTCCTTTAATATTCTATTAGTATTTGTAAGGCTTCACACAAAAGAAATTCACTAAGTTTGGAGATGAATTCTTTCTTGCTCTTCAAATCTTCAGACTCTACTCTGAACAGGAGAGTTGGAATCTGAGGGTGGGGCAATGAGGCCCTCAGGACTGGAGTTCAAACCAAGGTCGGATCTGACCCTGGACCAGAAGTTTCCTGAACAATGTTCTAATGATTAAGAATTATTTCCTCATTTTCTTATTTTTCTATAAAGAAAGGCAAAGAAAAATACATTATATATCAATTTATATAGTTTATATAAACGTATAATATATTAAATGTAAATATATATCAATATATAACAGTTTATGAAGTGTTTTCACATATTTTCTCTCATTTGATCACACAACAACCTACAAAGTAGTTACTCAAATTCAGAAAAGTTAAATGGTAAGACTTTGAATTCATAACTCCTATGCTTTTCCAACAAAATGACTTTCTATAAGGTGAGAGAAAACTTAAGTGAATTAGGTAGCCCTTTCAAAAATAGCATTGAATACAAAGTGTTATGTGTGTTTTGTGTCTATGTAAAATTTCAACTTCTGTTTTTCACACTTCGTTTCCTTCTGTAGGCACAATCACTTCCTGGATAGTCATTTTTTTCCTTCCGGTAAACAGTGCCTTGAACCCAATCCTCTACACTCTCACGACCAGCTTTTTCAAGGATAAGTTGAAACAACTGTTGCACAAACATCGGAGGAAATCGATTTTCAAAACTAAAAAAAAAAGTTTATCTACATCCATTGTGTGGACAGATGACTCCTCTTCACTTAAACTTGGTATTTTGAACAAAATAACCCTTGGGGACAGTATAGTGAAACCAATTTCCTAGCAATGGTTTTGAATCACTAGACTTTCAATGGACTACCTAAAACAAGGTATAGCATTTGGAAGATGATGTCTGCAATGCTTTTCACCTTTACCAGCAGCAAATCTTTCTGCAAGGAGGGCACAGCAGAGTGACTTCTGGCACTGCATCCCAATGGCAGCTGTACTGTTTGTCAACTGTGCTAAGAACTGTACCTAAGGATTCTTCTCTCCCTTACATGCTTGAAATGCACAAGTGAATCCATATATAATAGGCTGATACGCAGTTGATCTTTAGCTCATCAGCACTACCAACCTACCAGTGAATGCCCACATGTTGGCACTGCGTGATCTGCTTTTAAATCCAGTTGCACTATCCATAAAATAAAAACATTCAAGACATCTAATTCCAGTGTGGCCATAACAACATAAGCCTAACATCTCTCTTCTTGCTTTTTTATTGTCAAATGAAACCCTCAGCATCCTGCTGAACTGATAGCAAAGGATTTCCAAGATGTTCACCCACCTTAAGTCCTGCCCTATGGAGGTGAGCAGAATAGCAACTTTGAAAGCAGAACTTCATACAAGATTCCTTGTCCAACATATGATCAGAGAGGCACACCGACAAAGCCTAGAATCAGTCACCTTCTTGGCTTTTACTTAATGTCAAAAGAGCTGAGATCTTAAATAAGATATTTTTTTAAGGGTGCCCAGGCCACAAAGGAAATTTGGACACCTCAACAACCAAAAACTACATTTTAATATGTTTTTAAGCATAATTTCTTTCGAGGAGTCTCCCTATTGCTGGAATGTTCTGCCTTCATGGAGCACACAGAAAAGATGTGTGCAAGGGGATTTAAGAATAGTGGTTTGATTTGAGACCACTTGCTTACTCAGATAAATTCCTATTGTTTTTAACAAAAGGGCCAATAAGTTTGGACTTATTTTTTGAAAATGAAGGGTAAATGTGAAGGCCTGGACGTGTTTTTATATTGAAAGTTTATATGTGAAAAAAAGAATCAGGTAAATAAAACTATATTTTGCATTTGTCTATATATTATTTTAACAAAGACCATAGACAGGGCTTATTGACTATTACCCATGCTTTTCCTGATAGAGAATATGGTGAGGAAACACAGCAACTCAGTTAACAAAACACATCTTAAATTTGTCTTTCTCTTTCCCCTTTTTCCAAAGCATGAGGCAGTAACTTAATTTCTTTACTCTCACTTCATTCTGAGTTCCTTTAAGAGATGAAATATAAGCAGCCAACTGAGAACAGCACATCACCTCCTATCACATACTAAATGGATGCCCTTTTATCCGGTAACATCCAGGAAAGAGTCTCAGAGCTTATGTGTCACAGCTGTTCCGGTAATTTACCTGTTATTACTTAATATTGACTAAGACCATCATGTGAGTCCCTTCATTTTGATCAAGTGAGATATTTCTCACATCGGTGAAATATTTGCATTAGGATTCTACAAATGACGTACTAAAATAAAGTAGGCTGCCCTTTTTCCTTATGGTTTCAAACTTTTCTCCATCTTGTCTCTTCACTATGATTAGTTGCTTCCCAGCTTGTTTTCTATGGTCTCTGACATTTTCTTAAATGTCCTTTACCAGTTCTTGATCATCATACGATTTATTTCCTAGTATATTTCCCAACATCAGGAGCATAAACAAGGAATAGACCCTGAGCCTAGCGTATTTCAATCTCAGCACAAATGTGTGTCTCCTCTTCTTGAAAAACACCAAGCGTGGCCCATGAACCAAGCATCTAGGAACTGTGCTCATGAACGTCTGGGCTCTTGCTATTGAGCCGTGGACCTGAGGAGAAGCACAAGGTCAGATGCGTCAGGGAAGCTGGCAGCATAATACACAGAAAAATAGAAGCTGTATATTGGTCAGCAGCATGCCAACAAATAGTACAAAATTGAATTCTAATAGCTTATTGATTTCCAATTTAATTCTGTACTGCTATAGAAAACTATGAGAAATATGTTTGATTTTAGCAAATAATAGTCTTTCATCTGGATTATGTGAGGTCTTTTGTGTTAGATCAGACGTTTTCTAAAGCCAGTATTTCTGTGTGGTTGTGAAAATACCACCTCTGTTTGTGAACCATCTTCCACAGAAATATAAACGTCACTCCAGAATTTAAGATAGACTGCGCTACCTCTGAGTGGGAGAGAGTGAGAGCAAACTGCCTGATCCACAACCCCGCCATGCATCTGTGTGTGATGACATCAAGTGCACAAAAAGAGGGTGCATGGTTTATCTGCGGTAGGGATAGCTGAGCTTATTTACATCACTTTGTTTGATTCTTAAGATTTATTTCCAATTAAAATTGAAAATGGTTTATGCCCAATGCAGTTGCTGAAATAGCTTTTTGATAGCCAGGGGCTTTAAAAGAAATCACACATACCTGAGCTTACGTACACAGGCAGCGGTATCACTTTCCCCCACCTGCATCTTGCACCCCAACTCTTCAGCTTCGTTCACCTGCTCTCTCTAGCATCATGGAGCCACAAAAGCAGACCTATCACCCCAGTGTTTGTCTCTTACCGATGACTCCAGTGTCAGCTCAAGTCAGTATTTGGCAACTTGCTACATATCTATTCAGGCTACATTTTCAAGAATTTATCTCACTCAAGGTGATTCTTCACTCTGCTTTACCATCCTTCGGTTCGTAAGCACTGCAGAGATCCAGAGAGTGCACGTGACAGAAATGAGAAAAGGTAAAGCGTCACCAATCATATCCACCCTATTGTTTTATAAATGCTCCTGGGGGTCTGATGAAAATGTATTTTCCAAAATTAACAATGAATACATGTAAGACATACTTTTTTTCAGTTTTTGCTGCACAGCATAAATGGGCATATGGTTCTGTTTAATAAGTAATCTTAGGCAACTTTACTGAAAAAACAAGGTATTGAAGATAAGTATTTGTGTTTTCTTATTCCTTTACCCTGGTGAATAAGAAAAAGTGATTACAAAGATCCCTCTTTATATTTATCTGTTTATATATTTATCTGTTTATATGTCCATGCCTGATATCCTGTTCATGAAAGATAGAAGATGCATATTTAATAATGATAATGTTTATTTCTGACCCAGGGAAATGAAATGAAATTAGAATATTCTCTTTTTAAATGGCCTTTTGGTAGAAAATCTCAAAAGTCTTGAGAAATCCTTCCTAAAGCCCTGGAAGCTGATTGAAACCTGTTACTCCTTGACTTCATTACGCTGGTCTTCAGGATGTTTCTTAACATGACACATATGGGAGAAATTAATTACAAATGAAGAAATAGAAAATAACAAGACCAAGAGGTAAAATTGCGGATCCAGGAATGGAGATCTGCGGCTGTCTGAACGGCCTGGCCCCAGCCTACGGTGACACCTCTTACCTCTAGGACTTGAACAAACTCATAACTATTTTGAGTTATAAACTCAGAGCTAGTTTAAATACAAGAAGAAATCATTTTCCGGACTGTCTGGGAACCAATAAAACCTTCACTTTTTTACTGATTTTCCATCCGCTGTAACTGAGTTTCCTTAAGATCATATCTTGTAAACCGATGGGTCGTCCCAGTTCTGAGAAGATCTATAATTTGGATTAAACTATTTGCTGAAGGTCCATGTAGATTAAAAATCCAAAAGTTTACATAAAGGTCAAGGATCATCAGATTCTCAATTCCCCTGGGATATTACAGACTTTTCAGGAAGAATCAATGCAGGTCACCAGTGTGCAGAAATTCACTTTTTCCACTGGATGCTTGCAGGGCCCCATTCTATTCTGGAAAGAATACTGAGGCAAAGCCTCAGACAATGAAGCTTTTCTAAGGCATGGCAGATTACAACAGTACAGCAGTAAGTACAGCTTAAAAATTAGGTAACCTGTTGCAAGCAAAATCTAGGAATGCAGAGATTTGGTAATTAACAAGCAACAATTTTAACTACAAATCATAGACTGGTCTTTTCACATAAGTGTATAAAAAGATCTTCTATCACCTACATTATCCTTTAAAACAGACACAAATGCACAGACGTGTACAGCACTTAGATTGGGTCTATTCTTGTGAAAAGGGGGCAAAGAGACAATGACATATCTAATTTCCCCACAGAAGCAAGATAGAACATGTGGTTCTTGACCCACCATGGGTCTCTGCCTCAAATCTTGTACCATCAACCATGAACTCCCTCCCCTGTATCATCAACCTTTCCCTCTGTCTGCTGGCTCTTTCCTTTCAGCTCAGATTTCTCACATCTAAAAGAACAGTCCTACCATCCTACACCTTCCTTTAGCATCTGTCGTATTCTCACCTTCTCTTTATAGCTAAACATTTTGAAAGAATGGCAAACTTTTGTCATCAGTGCTTTGGCTCCTCAACAACTGAATGCCTCCACCCCCACCAGTCCACTGAGGCTGTCCTTGTTAAGATCTCCACGACAACTCAATGGACATTGTCCTTTCTTTAACTACATCACCTGTCTGAAGAATTTGTCACTGATGACTACTTCCTCCTTTGACTCCTCTCTCTGAATGAAGGACACCACTCTTTCCTCTTGTACACTGCTTCACTGGAACTTCCTTCTAACACCTTTATGAATTTTCTCTTCCTGTTCTTGTCCCATAAACTTATAAATAAGTTTCTGGGGTTTTACTCTTGGCTCCCTGTTCTTTGCCCTCCGTGCATCCCTCCCTGGCTTCAGCCTCTCTATGGCTTTTGTAAATTAATTTTTTTAAACTCACTTTAAAAAAATAAATACAAATAGAAGGAGCTTATTTTGATGGTTCTTACTAAATCTTGACACTTATTTTTTAATCTCCTCCACCAAGTGTACAGCAATTTTTGTTGAAATTTCTAACCTCCCTAATGAGAATCAGCTATTCTCTCCAACTCATCCAGAAGTGGTGCATTTTCACATGTTTAATTAATATGGCTTCAAAACTCAACAAAATTATTTGTTTGAAAGATTTTTCAACAGGATAGAAAATTCCATAATCTTAAGTTACCTAAGTGGCCCAAGCTGGAGAGGGGAGATGAGGATTCTGATGGCTCCATAAAAATTTCCTCTTACCTCCCTTATTTTCAGTCCAGGATCTAAGTTTACATAAACT